CTCTGGAGTAGAGGACCTCAGTGGATTACCTTCTGGAGAAGGTCCAGAAGCTTCTGCCTCTGGAGTAGGGGACCTCAGTGGACTTCCTTCTGGAAGAGAAGGAATAGAGACCCCTACCTCTGGTGTAGGGGACCTGAGTGGGCTGCCTTCTGGAGAAGGTCCAGAAACCTCTGCCTCTGGAGTAGGGGACGTCAGCGGGCTGCCTTCTGGAGAAGGTCTAGAAGCCTCTGCTTCTGGAGTAGGGGACCTCAGTGGACTTCCTTCTGGAAGAGAAGGAATAGAGACCCCTACCTCTGGTGTAGGGGACCTCAGCGGGTTGCCTTCTGGAGAAGGTCCAGAAGCCTCTGCGTCTGGAGTAGGGGACCTCAGCGGGCTGCCTTCTGGAGAAGTTCCAGAAGTCTCTGCCTCTGGAATAGGGGACCTCAGTGGACTTCCTTCTGGAAGAGAAGGTCTAGAGACCTCTGTCTCCGGTGTAGGCGACCTCAGCGGGCTGCCTTCTGGAGAAGGTCCAGACACCTCTGCTTCTGGAGTAGGGGACCTCAGCGGGCTGCCTTCTGTAGAAGGCCCAGAAGCCTCTGCCTCTGGAATAGGGGACCTCAGTGGACTTCCTTCTGGAAGAGAAGGTCTAGAGACCTCTGCTTCTGGAGTAGAGGACCTCAGTGGGTTGTCTTCTGGAGTAGAGGGTCATCCAGAGACTTCTGCTTCTGGAGTAGAGGACCTCAGTGAACTTCCTTCTGGAGGAGAGGGTCTAGAGACCTCTGTTTCTGGAGCTGAGGATCTCAGTGGGTTGCCCTCTGGGAAAGAAGACTTGATTGGGTCAGCCTCTGGAGGCTTGGACTTTGGCAGAATACCTTCCGGAACTCTGGGAAGTGGGCAAGCTCCAGAAGCAGGTGGCCTTCCCTCTGGATTTAGTGGTGAGTATTCAGGGGTGGACCTTGGAAGTGGCCCATCCTCTGGCCTACCTGATTTTAGTGGACTTCCCTCTGGATTCCCAACTGTCTCCCTAGTGGATACGACATTGGTGGAAGTGGTCACAGCCACCAGTGCAAGTGAACTGGAAGGGAGGGGAGCTGTTGGCATCAGTGGTGCTGGAGAAACATCTGGGCTGCCCTTCAGTGAGCTGGACATTAGTGGGACAGTTAGTGGACTCCCTTCAGGAGCTGAACTCAGTGGCCAAGCGTCTGGGTCCCCTGACATCAGTGGGGAAACATCTGGATTCTTCGGTGTCAGTGGACAGCCATCAGGGTTTCCTGACATCAGTGGGGGAACATCTGGGCTTTTTGAGGTCAGTGGGCAGCCATCAGGGCTTTCTGGGGAAACATCGGGAGTGACAGAGCCTAGTGGACTGCCCTCCGGACAACCAGATGTCAGTGGAGAAGCCTCTGGAGTTCTTTCTGGCGCTGGTCAACCCTTTGGCATAACCGACCTGAGTGGAGAAACATCTGGGGTCCCTGATATCAGTGGGCAGCCATCGGGGTTGCCGGAGTTCAGTGGGACAACTTCTGGAGTCCCTGACCTGGTTCCCGGTACCATGAGTGGCAGTGGTGAGTCTTCTGGCATTACGTTTGTGGACAGCAGTTTGGTTGAAGTGACCCCAACTACGTTTAAAGAAGAAGAAGAAGGTTTAGGGTCTGTGGAAGTCAGTGGACTACCTTCAGGGGAGGCGGATCTCTCGGGCACATCTGGGATCATGGATGTCAGTGGACAACCTTCTGGAGCAATTGACTCCAGCGGGTTGACATCCCAGCCTCCAGAATTCAGTGGCCTGCCAAGTGGAGTAGCTGAAGTCAGTGGAGAATCCTCTGGAGCAGAGACTGGGAGCAGCCTGCCCTCGGGAGCATATGACGGCAGTGGACTCCCATCCGGTCTCCCCACTGTGTCTCTTGTAGACAGAACTTTGGTGGAATCCGTCACCCAGGCTCCGACAGCCCAAGAAGCAGGAGAAGGGCCCTCGGGCATTTTGGAACTCAGCGGTGCCCATTCTGGAGCACCAGATGTGTCTGGAGACCATTCGGGAGTTTTGGACCTAAGTGGGCTGCAGTCCGGGCTGGTGGAGCCCAGTGGAGAGCCATCAAGTACACCATATTTTAGTGGGGACTTGTCTGGCACCGTGAATGTAAGTGGAGAATCCTCTGCAGCCACGAGCACCAGTGGGGAGGCCTCAGGACTTCCAGAAGTTACTTTAATCACTTCTGAGTTCGTGGAGGGTGTCACGGAACCAACTGTTTCCCAGGAACTTGCCCAAAGACCCCCCGTGACATACACCCCCCAGCTCTTTGAGTCCAGCGGAGAAGCCTCTGCGTCTGGGGATATTAGTGGACCTACACCAAGGTTTCCCGGGTCTGGGCTAGAAGCGTCATCGGTCCCGGAATCCAGCAGCGAGACATCTGACATTCCTGAGGCTGGGGTGGGGGCATCTGCCGCCCCTGAGGCCAGCGGACGAGCTTCCGGGGTCCCTGACGTGAGTGAAGCCACCTCCGCCTTCCCTGAAGCTGATGTGGAGGGGGCCTCAGGCCTGGGAGTGAGCGGCAGCACCTCAGCCTTTGCTGAAGGCCCCAGGGAGGGCTCGGCCACCCCGGAAGTACGGGAGGAGCCAACCAGCACCTACGCTGTGGGCACAGAGGCGTCAGGCTGGCCTTCGGCCACTCCGATGGCGTCTGGAGACAGGACTGAAGTCAGCGGAGACCTGTCTGCTCACACGTCGGGGCTGGATGTTGTCATCAGCACTAGCGTCCCAGAATCCGAGTGGATCCAGCAGAGCCAGCGCCCTGCAGAGGCGTCTCTAGAAATCGAGCCCTCGAGCCCCTTGCACTCAGGAGAAGAGACCCAAACGGCCGAAACTGCCACCTCCGCCACAGATGTTTCCATCCCCACTTCTCCAGCAGGGACACCTGAATCAGCACCAGCCGTTCCAGGTATTGTCGGGATTTTTTTTTTTTTTTCCTTTCAATGGGTTCGGGGAGTTCAGACTCTGGTGTAGTGGGAGGCAGTGTAAACTCAAGTTGCACCGCAGACCAGCTGTGCAGCCTCAGGTGAGTTTCTTAACCTCTCTGAGCCTCATCTGGAAGATGGGGAGAGTACCAGGGACCATTAAACAGGACATAAATATCAAACAAGCACTTAGCATCATACTTTGCACACAGCACACACTTAGAGATGAGTGGTTGCTATTGTTTACAGTGGAGTTACATCACCAGGGCCATTGTATGTGAATCCAACTGTCTGTACTTGGGTGACTATTTAGATAGTGCTAGAAATTCTACTCACGCCCTTTCTCTTGGAGTTAATGTGAGATGAGAGAGTGAATCTGATGACATCTATGGCCAAGTATTAACTTCATGTAGGGTTAAGACCTGCACAATGTAAGGAACTCTGAAGTGTCATTTTGGCTGTCCTAACTTTAGTCGACACAACCCAGGCACCACGCACAGGAAGCTGAGGATTTTCCTTTGCTTTTTGCCTGGGGATCCTGTGTACCTCCCTCTGGGCCGAGAGACCTTTCCCAGTCAGAGAGCCCCCCAACCCGAGATGCTGGGCCAGGTGCCCAAGAGGGACAGAGTCCCCAGAAACATGCTGACCCAGAGCCAGCTTTGTGGGCTTCAGGGGCCTTGTGCCCCCCACCTTGAGGTCTTGGAGGCAAGGCTGCACCCCAGGCAGGCAGCTGTGGTCTTGACACTGAGCGTCTCCCTGGGAGCTGCAGCCCCGCCAGGGCCCATGCCGAGGCGTCCTGTGGGGCCTGCCAGGAGATGGAGGGACACATCTCCTGCCTGTGCCCCCCTGACCCCACTGGTGAGCACTGCAATATAGGTAAGCCCCTCATCGGCCGTGGGGGTACAGGCAGGGGACCCAGGGGGGCCCCTTTATCCCCAGAAGGGGCCGAAGGCAGGAGGAGGCGACGAAGGCCGGCTGAGGCTCAGGCTTCCCGGCCCAAGAAGGAGAGGTGAGCCGTGAGAGGTGACGCCTCAGGGTAGAGGCCACAGGATAAAAAATGGCGCATCTCTCTAGAGAGTCTAGTCTACACGGCACTTCAGGGAAAAAAAGTTCAAGTAATTAAACCGAGAAATGGTTCGTTGTTTGTTAAGCCAATGATTGTTTTATGAGTCGAATGCCCAATATGCTTGAATTTTGAAGATAAAATTTGTGGCTTCCAGGAAGTGTGGAGCTGGGACGAAAATGGGGTAGAGCCGGTCACACCTCACGGGACCTGGGAGGGAAGCTCCGAGGGGGCGGTCTTGCATCGTGCGGAGTCGCCCTCTGCAGGAAAGCCCCGGCAGACCCCTCCATGCTCGGACCTGGGTGGGATTTGGGTCCCCATTCTTGCCCTGAAGGAAATGACAGGCAGTGCGTGTCACCCCCAGCTGCAGGTGAGCTTGGCCTAGCCGTGCCCTGCCCCTTGGCGCCCACCGCCCTGGGGCCTCTGTCCTTTGCCATGGATCAAGCAGCTTGTGGGACAGGTGAGGAGCCCCGGGGGGTCCTCTAATTGGAGGTGGCCCCCAGAACGAGATGATGAGGACCCGTCTGTGTTCCCCGAACACGTCGAGGCCTGTGGCCATGAGGATGTTTCCTCTTGTCAGATCAGCACCCTTAAGGGAACAGATGCCCAGGTACCTCCAAGCCCATATTCTCGGGATAGGTCTCTGCACTGCCCCCACGCCCTTACCCCAGGCTCTGTCCCAGAGTCTTTCATAGAAGGGCTTCATTCCTCTGACACATGCAGAATCAGAGCCATGAATCCTGGGGGGAAGCAGATCCCAAGAGACCAACAGGGCTGGGCTGTTTGTATATATATATATGCAAATTAATACCTCACAATATATGCTCCCATCATGTAAATATGCTGTGTACTTGGCCCTTACACAGGAAATGTTCCGTGTAAGCAGGCCCTAGGGTGACTACGGATTCACTCTTTCCTCCACCGGGGTCGGCCTTCGGCCACGTGGCAGGGCCATGACTAAGAGCACTGTGGGCCTCTGTGGCCAGAGGGGTGGGCTCTCCTAGGGCGGTCCCGGCCTTACCGCCTAGGGGTTAGTATGTCACGGGGCCACGGTGACCCCTGGGACTCCAGCCACATCCCTCCATCGTCCTCCCTCTGGCTATGGCTGGTGGAGAGCAGCAGGGGCACTGGTCCTGGGTGACCTGTTCATGGACATAGCCTGAGCCAGAAAGGAACAGACTCAGGGCCCAGCAGGACTTCCGGGACAGCCGCCAGGACCGGAAGCCCCCTGCCCGGGTGTTTGTATCTTCTGACACCTCTCTCCCTTCTTAGCAAGTCCTTCCCCAAGCAAAAATCACAGCAGGGCTCATGGCCTTGGAGTGAGAGGTGGGCGGCAATGGACCCTAACTGCTGGAAGGACAGCCTTTCTCTGATCGTGTGTATCCCCACAGGGCTTTCTGCCCCCACGATTTCTTCCCAGAGAGCTCTGTGGGTAGCTTGGCCGTTATCCCCATCTGAAACTACAGTACAGAGAGGTTCAGGGATTTGCCTAGTTCCTCCAAGGGAGTCAAATCCAGAACTGGGGTCTTCATTCACTTAACACGCTCCGCTAAAGAAGAAGCTCCCTCTCGAACATAAGAATCAGTTGCTAGTCTTCAATCAGGAGATGAACTTCAGAGCCACCGGAATGGAGAGAGGTTATAGATGTGGGGCTTGGCCAAGCCCTCGGCACCTCATTTGTAATAGGGTCAAAGGAGTGATTCTCAGCTTTAAGAACCTCCTGATGCCTGGGGTCCCACTCCCCCAGATTCTGTTTGAAACGGTCCTGTGGCCTTGGCACTGGGGTTTTAAAGACCACCCAGGTGACTCCAGGGTGCAGCCAGGGCTGAGAAACTGCTGTAAGGATTAAAAACTCCTGTGTACAGCGTCTGGCCCCAGGAGGCATCAATAAAGATTACTTCGCCTTCCCCATCTCTCACGCCACTGGTTACGAAAAGCTTTATCATCTCTAAAGAACAGGTGGTGAGGATGCTTCCAAAAAAGCCTGCAGATAGCATCCCGGCTCCGCAGGTGACCCACCGTGGTCTTGAGCTAGAACCCACAAGCACAGTCCGTTGAAAGACGGTGTGGGTCAGAGTTCTCCAGGCGCCAGAGGTAGCAAAATATAGCATTATTTCTGTGGCAATATTTGAATACTCAGTGTGACCTTCCACCTAGTAAATGAGGTTGGAGGCTGTTATTTAGTCCTTGAGAGAAAATATTTGACAATTACCATCATCTTGCTAAGTCAGCATTGTGGTAAACAAGTGCTTGATAAATGACTCATCTGCACTCTTGACGTCAAAATAAACATGTTTAATGAATGGAGATTTTTTAGCGATTGAAAAAGCAGAGCTAGCCACCCCATTCCAATCCACTTAAGAAACAACAGCTTCCTCCCCACCTCTGTTGCTGACATTCGCTGAGATTTCTGGCTCTGAGGTTTCAATCCTCCTTAGAATCACCTGGGTGCTTTTAATTTTTCAAAAGCTCCACACCTGGGTCCCACCTGGAGCCACCCCGATGGAATTGGTCTGAAGAGGGACTCTGGCATTGGTATTTTAAAAAATCTTTTAAAAATTTTTGTTAACTACTGTAGTGATTCTGACGCGCAGCTAAGGTTGAGACATTCTGTTCTAATCAGATCTCACATCCAATTTTCCAGCAATCAGTGGTGCTGGGTGGATTTCTCTAAACTCCTGGGTTAGAAGGGCATGAACACAAAATTCAGTCAGCCCTCTTTACTGTCTTACTGCCATTCTTCACTTTGTAGGCTTGAGGCTCTGATCTATGATCTGACACTGTCACTTCCCCTGGAGCAGGGAGGTTGGAGTTCCAGTGAAATCTTAGCCCCAGAGGGGCGCCTGGGTGGCTCAGATGGTTAAACGTCTGCCTTCAGCTCAGGTCATGATCCCAGGGTCCTGGGATCGAGCCCCACATCGGGCTTCTGGCTCAGCAAGAAGCCTGCTTCTCCCTCTCCCCTTGCTCATGCTTTCTCTCTCTCTCTCTCCCTGTATCTCTGTGTCTCAAATGAATAAATAAAATCTTTAAAAAAAAAATCTTAGCCCCAGGGGTCGGGGGGGGGGCGGAGGGGGATGCTGTCAAAGCAAGTGAAAATACAGGGTTACAAGTGCAAATACAAATCACACCTTCATGATTTGACATAATCAAAAAGTCTATGGGCAGATTTGAACAGGGAACCACAGTCGACCCTTGAACAGCACTGGGGGTTAGGGGTGCCAGCCCCCCGCAAAATTGAAAATCTGCATATAAATTCTGACTCCCCAAATATTTAACTATTCATAGCCTCCTGTTGACCAGAAGCCTTAGTAATAACAGAAAGTCGATTAATACTTATTTTGTATGTTGTATGTATTATATACTGTATTCTTATAATAAAGTAAGCCAAAGACAAGAAAATGTTACTCAGAAAATCATGATGGGGGTACTCCTGGCTGGCTTAGTAGGTAGAGCTTGTGACTCTTGATCTCGGGGTCATGAGTTCAAGCCCCACGTTGGGCTTACTTAATTTTAAAAAATATATAGAAAAAAAATCATAAGAAAGAGAAAACACATTTACAGTACTGTATTGTAAAAAATCTGCATATAAGCAAACACACAAACCCATGTTAGTTCAAGGGTCAACTGTAATTGAATTTAAGAAGCATGATATTAAAGTTACATTCAAGATCAAACTTTAAGACTTGATAGTATAATTATAGCATACTGGTTAATTTAATGATGTTTATTTTAAAAGCAAATTGAAACTGATAAATATGTTCTTATAACCCTTCTATCAGTTATGATAGAAAGCGAGTGTATTTACTCAGGTCTGTCCATCTGATTGATCCTAGGTCTTTGCAGGGTGTAGGACATCCACTGAGTTAAGAAATTGTCTCTGTGCTTCTTGAAGGGATTTTTCTCCCATGTTTGTCCAGGAAAGTTATGTCCAGGGTCACCACATACAGCTGCACAGGTTGTGCACTGAACAACTTGACTACCATTCATATATTCTTTATGATTTGCAACCCCTTTAGTTGGGTATCATTCGAGTAAAAGTACCTGCTGTCACTCTTCATTCAGCCTTTTCTATGAGCCAAATAAATTCTCTCACTTGGCGGTCCTAGGCTCTGACATAAGCAAAAGCTGGGCAAGACCTATTCCGGGTAGAGGCCTGAGTTCTCCAGTTCAGTTGCCAAAGTGATCATTTGGAAGTATCTTATCCCCCTCACCTTTACCAGGGCACTCTCAGTTATTTTCTCCCCTAAGTTAGGGCCTGGTTCAGGAACAAATCATCCCTTTTGGTTATAGTGGTGGGAAGAAGACTCAGAGTTCTGACACTCCCCAGGGTCCCTGCTCTTGGCCTGGTGCAGGAGAAATGATAATGAGATGCTGAGATCCAAGACTTCAGTGTCCCTCTTCCTCCACAGGGGACAAAGGCCCAACTTCCAGCCCCAGTGTCTGATTCTTCCCTCCGTCTCTTCTGGTCTGTCTCCCCGGCTTATGGGCGTGGGCAGGCCACTTCCCTTGTTTCCTTACCTGTACTCTAGGGCACATGACATCTGTGCCCTGGGGCTGTTGGAGGGTAAAGTGTGTGGGAGCAATAGTGTCCGGGTCAGGGAAGATTCGTGAGAGAGATGGGTTCCTTCTCTTTGCTCTCTTCCTTCATGCAGTCTGCCCATTGCCCAAAGCCCTTCCCAGCCCCCCACCTGCTGGCATCCTGTCTGGGGTCCCCCCAACTCTGTGCTCAGCCCAGCTCAACTCCTCTCGTGGTTCCAGAAAATGAGCAACATCCCAATTGCCCTTCACAGAAAGAGGTGTGGGCACTGCAAGGCCGGAGGGAGAGGCGATGAGGCCTGGCAGGCCTGCGCGGCTCCCAAGAAAGCCCCACGCAGGATGCTCAGCCCTCTTCCTACAGTAGAAGGCCTCTCTCACCTGCCCTGTAGGCCCCCACAGGCTCTGTGCTCTTCAGCAGTTTGGCCCTTCCTTCCCTTCTCATCTGTGAATCCCGGGCCCTGCACAAAACAGCTTCTGAACCCAGGAACAGGTTCCCTGAGTTTCGGTCACCCCCCCCCCCCCCCCCACCGCACCAAAGCTCGGGCCTTCTCAGATTGGGTGCCAAAGCCAGGAGGACAACAACACGGCCTCCCCCTGGGTCTCTGGCCACCTGGGGGCGAGTGATATGAAATAAGCCTCTGGGACAAGGAAGGCCACCTGGCCCGACCTCCCTGGGGCCTCCGCCTCCCCTGCCCCTCCCCCACGCGAGCCAGAGGCCCCAGGGTTAACTTCCGGCTCTTCTGCCCACAGGCCACTCCTGTCCCCTGCTCTCTACAACTGCTTTAGCGCCTCCATTTGCTTAAGCCCCCCTCGCCCGGTGCTTCCCACGTCCCATAATGACGCTAATGGACCCAAGAGAACAGGGGCTCCTGTTGAGCAGCCCCCAGCTTCTGCCCAGCCCACCGGCCTGACCTATTGCTGCTACTGCTGCTGCTGGGAATCCTGGTGCATGCTGGGAATCCAAGTGCATGCTGGGACTCCCGTCAGTTCCTCCATGCATTTTGGTTTTGCTTGGAACAGTTCCGACCTTGGAACTGTTGGTGTCTAATCCATGGTGCGAGCTCCCTGAGATGAAGTTACGAACTCCGCGGGAGCAGAGAGACGCCTGAGGACCTGAGATTTTCAGGCCACCCACTGCCCAAACCCAAGTCTGGTCCAGCAGATGTCCACTATGTACCATCTAGCGAAAAGGAACCACGGGGAAAGTGCTTTTGCCTTCTTAAGAGGGGATGGACTTTAAGGTCTACTCTGCTGTCCTGAGAGGCAAGAACTAATCCTGGAATGTATTTAGGACGCTGATCACGTGGACACCACCCACAGACATGTCGGGTCCTGAAGGTTGTATGAACACAGCGGCATACACCAAGGCTTAGCCATATGTCATGATGCCCCATGGGCCAGTGACACCCATTCATTGCAGAATCTTATTGATCTGGGAAGAAGAGCTTCACAATCCCTTTTATCATGCTCCCAGGGGAAGGTACCCAGAGAAAACCAGCAGGAGCCTTTGTATAAATAGGAAGAGAGTAAGAGATCCCCAGGTTTCTGGCTTCTCAGAAAAAGGCAGAAAGACCGGATTAGGAGACTCATTTCTCACCTTGGCTGATGGATGAAAATTGAGGCCAATGACTTACCAATTCCAGTCCCACAAAGAAGATGCATCAGAAAGAACATCTTGGGCCAGAAGAACAGAAGGGAGGAAGAGTCTGCCTGGGAAGAACAGGTTGATAGGGACTGGCCTGTACCCCAGGGTGGTGGTGGCTGGCCACTTACTAAGTGGCTCACCAGCTTCAAATATTAGTCCCAACTGGCTAGAATGGAACCTGTCTGGAAATTGTGACTCACTGGAGATGTCCACATTCTCAGGCCCTACGCTGGAGGGAACATGGGAAAATGTTAGGCTGGTTTCTCTTCCTCCCCCCAAGAGAATGATGCTGGCTTCATCTTTATAAGATAGTCTAGAATCTGATGTACTGAAGACAAAGGTGTCTGTGACTGCCAAAGATCGAATGAGTCTCATGCGGATATCCCATGCTACCATTCTCTCATGGTTCTGTACTCTCCAGACCACCTCTGGCTTGTTCATGCCTTGCCCTCTTGCCTCGGTTCATAACTACAGAGGAAGATAAGAAAAGAAAGAGCTCTAACCAACTTCAGGCACTTGACTTCCAGTGTCCTTGCTCATCAGCGTCATGTTCAGAGCCAGTTCAGACCCTAAGGCCTCTTGAAATATTCACAAGAGGAGCTACATGCTCACTCTTCCAATGGGCGTTTGCCTTCAGAAGCACCAGATCTCTTCACCCGCAGGGAAACCTCGCTCCCATGCTCCAAGCTTGCCAGTCAAGAATCACACACATCCAAGAAAACCCTTGTTGGATCTTTGGCTCAGTGCTCCAATATGGCGGCGGCAGCAGCAGCAGCAGCAGCAACAGCTCTTAGGAAGTCCAGCCACCCCATCTCTTAGGAAGAGCAGCAGGGCTGGCCACCCATAAAGCACCTGCAATGCTTACAAAGCTGGAGTTCCTGGCAAGAGTCCTAATGGTGGCCCTTGGTTTCTTGCAGACATTGATGAGTGCCTCTCAAGTCCTTGTCTGAATGGAGCCACCTGCGTGGACGCCATCGACTCTTTCACATGCTTATGCCTTCCCAGCTACCGAGGGGACCTGTGTGAGATTGGTACGGCCGTCTCGGCTTCAGCTAATGTTACTAACTGCTGCACCCCCTCCTCCTCCATCACCCTTCCTTCTAACCACAGGCTCTTGGCCCTGGTTGGGGCCCACACGGTCCAGCCAGCCAGCCATTTCAGGGGCCACCACTGAGAAGTCTGCCTCACTCACTCCCACTCTTCTTGCCCGTCCTTGTGGAAACCCTCCTCTGGGGCATTGGCTGATCTGACCACAGGAGAGACATGCAGGCCGGGCCAGCCTGCACTTTGGAAGGTGGGGCCCTAGGGGATCTTTAAAACACTAACCTTCGTCAGGGCTTCCAGACCCACTGATGCCACCCTGAGGTCGGTGCGTGCATCAGACTAAAGAGGACAGAGCTGATCCCATGCATTTGTCTGGAAGGAAGCTATGGGTGGGAGTAATCGGTTCTCTCTCTGGAGGACAGCACAGATCTTCCAGCCCAGTCATGAGCATGTGTCGGCCTGCTGTGTTGCCCATGGGACCTTTGTGGCCCCTCCATGGCCTGGGGAGCCACCAAGCCACACCGACCACACTACCTCTTTCTTCTCTGGCAAGAGCTCTGTTTTGTCTGCCTGAGAGCTCCCGTGTGACCAGCATGACATGCATGAGCAGGGACTGCTGCATGTCAGTGCCACTCCGGCCCGTGCTTCCTCTTCCCTGCCCTTGTGCAAGTCAGAAGCTGGGCCAGGGAGAACAGAGCCTCACTATAAGGGATGGGGGCTGAGTTTCCCCTTTTGGGCCTTGCCAATCCCTTTGCTTCTGCACCCAGGCCAGGCTCAGCTGAGGGAGCTGTGTGCCAGGAACTTGCCAGGGTCAGCTGGACCCCCTCCCACTCTCTCACTCTGGTGCTTCTAGTCTCCCCCGTGCCATCCTCCTGGGCCTCAGGGCCATCCCAACCCAGAAAGAGGGAGATGGGGCTTGTACTTACTAGTAGCAATAACCCATGCAGACCTAGAAGCATGCAGGGGTTCAAAACCATTTTCTATGATCTCTCAAGTTGGATATCCCAGAAACTTCCAGAAAACAGATGAAACTCCTGGGAAGTCTCCCTTTGGTCCTAAGCAGGGTGGGGAGGTAGTTTGGGATTGCATGTTCCTTCGAGGCACCGCCAAGATTACAGACTGGTGGAGGAACTTAAGTCTTCTGGAAGAAAAGGCCTGGACCCTCTTCCTTCCCTGCAGCCTCCCACCCTCCACCTCCACCCCAAGACACCAAGAAATTAGGCATGGGGTCTTGGCTGGGGGGAGAATGGAGGGTTATAGGATTCTCTCCTCAGGATGCCAAAATATCTGCCACAGGGGAGAAGTGTCTAGCCTGTCCGCACAAACAGCTCTTGGATGCCAGACTAGGAAAGGAGGTGCTCTGCCCAGCGTGGAGGCAGGCGGAGATGGTGCTGGTGCTGGGCCAGGTCGCCCAGCTAAGCCAAGCGAGGCTCCATCTCTTCCCCCCATTTCAGTCTATTGGGTGCTTCACAGCTTGGCTCCGGGCCCGCTGTGCCGTCCCGCCTTGCTGGAATTCTGTTCATACTTCCCCAGAGCCTCCATCCTGCATGCCCTGGCCCCTCCCAGAGCTGTTACACCCCCCATGTTTGCCTGCTCAGCCCAGCCCTCAGCACTGTCAGCCCTGGAATGATGTCTCTGGCCTCCTCTGAGGCCTTGCTACCTTCTTTCCAGACCTTGGCCTTGCTCCTTGGAGGAGGCATCGGCTGCAGGGGGCCAGCGGCCTCCTCCTCAGCCCTCCTGCTGCTCCGCCTCTTCTCAGGCTGCTGGCCTCTGCATGTCCTCTGTCTCTGCCTTCCCCGAGTGTCTCTCTTCCACCCCTTCAGCCTAAGCCTCCTCCCCGTCAGGTACTGGTCGCCCCTTCCTGGGTCAGCCAGACTCTGGGTCGCACCCAGTAGGGAGGCTCCATACAGCCTGCGGGGTTCACGGCCCTGCACTCAGGCCCCCAGGCCCGAGGAGCAGCCCTTCACCTGGGCGGCCCCCGGGGAAGGAGGAAGAGAGGGTCTTGGAATCCCCTCTGTCCAGTGGTGTGCTGGCTGATGGTTAACAACCAGCTCCTAGAGAGGAAGGGGGAGCCCTGATGTGTGGCGTCTGCCGATCTCTGAGGAATTTACAGCTACCAACGTGACGTCCCTGAAGGCCGAGACGGGAAGACGCGTTCCTAATGGCTCTCCCAAGCCTGAAGGAGCCAGCTCGGGCCCCTGCCTCTGTCTGTCCCTCCGGGCTGCTCCAAGAGCTCCAAACCAGTGCCTTCTCCCGAACTCAGAACCCACTGCCCATATAGGTTTGTGAGGAGAGAAGCTCCTCCCTCTTCTCATCTGCCACCAAGAAATTAAATAAACAGCCGAGGCCCCTGGGTCATGGACCCCCGGTTGGCTGCCTCGTCCTCCAAGCGGCAGGTATCCTGAGCCCAGCCAGAGCCAGCTCAGATTGACAGATGTAGGGCTCTGAGTCTTCTGTAGACCCAGAGCAGCCTTATTTCTGCTCCTCTATGCCCACCCGAAGTGCCATTTCATGCCCCCAGCGCTGCCTGCTGCGGCCCCCTTCACACGCCCCGCTCAACTTCCTCCCTGCCTCCCCACCTTAACCTCCACACCTCCCACCTTCCACCCTGCAGAGCAGGAGAAAAGCTTGGGGAGACCGACATCAGGGAAAGAAAGGGTGGGAGCCTGCCCAGAGGCTCTGGGGCTCCAGGACCAGGCCTTCCTGGCTCCCAACTCGAGCCCCGTCTAGATGGGCCTCTCCCTTCAAGGACGGACATGGAAAGCCGGGTGAATGTAGGCAGCTGGCGTACGACTGGCCCGCACCGGACACCCCCAGGCGGCCTCGGGGCCGCTCTCTTCAAGCCCCTGACCTGTGTTGCAGACCAAGAGCTGTGTGAGGAGGGCTGGACCAAGTTCCAGGGTCACTGTTACCGCTACTTCCCCGACCGCGAGAGCTGGGTGGATGCGGAGAGCCGGTGTCGGGCTGAGCAGTCACACCTGAGCAGCATCGTCACCCCCGAGGAGCAGGAGTTTGTCAACAGTGAGTGCCGGGGTGGGGGGGTGGAGCGCAGGGCCTGCAGGGGTGGAGGGCAGGGAGGGAAGGAGGGGCTTGCCGCTGGGGCTGCACCCCGAAGCCCCAGGCTAACCCTGTGGCTATCGCCAGTCCATGCCAGCTTGGGTGGTGGTCTGCACGTGCATGCGCTGAGACCCTTGTCAGGGCCGCAGAAGCAGGTGGCTTGCTCCTAGGAGCCCACCCACCTCCTGCCCCTCCCCCATCCCCTCTGGCTCTGCGAGCTCAAGTTCTCAGACACCCTCAGGGTGTCCAGCGCCCTGCCCAACATCCACACCTCTCTCTAGACAACGCCCAAGACTACCAGTGGATCGGCCTGAATGACAGGACGATCGAAGGGGACTTCCGCTGGTCAGACGGACACTCCTTGGTAAGTTCGGCCGCCCAGAGTGGGGGAAGGCAGACACCCACTGAGCAGCGGCTGGGCTGGGAGCCCTAGGGGCCGGACTGTGTCTCCGTCCTCTCTGCCAGGGCCGGGCGGGTCGAGTGAACACGGGCATGAAGAGGGGGGTGAGGAAGACAATGATGGAATGCAGGCACACCATCAGAAGGGGTATGTGGAGGCTTTCGAGGGCTTCCTTGCCCACAGAGGACTCGGTCTACTCCAGGAGGCAGGCCGACAGAAAGCGGCATAGATGCCAAGGGACAGGACACATAGTAAATGCTGCAGGTCAGCAGAGGAAGTCAGGGAAGGCTTCCTGGAAGAGGTGAATGGGAACAGGGTCGTGGGTTGGGGAAGGGGACTCTGTCCCAGGGCCAGGCCTGAGGGAGAAGCCTAGGGAGACAGTCTGGACTTGGGAGCCATGTCTCTACCGCCCAGTCCTCCCCAAATGAGGCAGCCTGTGAGACTCGCCCCTGCTGGCCCGATAGAGGAGTGGCTTGGGCTCCTCATCAGGGACGGAGAAGAAGGAGGGGGGGTCAGGCCAAGCTCCTGCCTCAGCCTCACCCCTGCCCCTCAAACCTCCCCCCAGCAATTTGAGAACTGGCGCCCCAACCAGCCCGACAACTTCTTCGTCAGCGGGGAGGACTGCGTGGTGATGATCTGGCACGAGAAGGGAGAGTGGAACGACGTGCCCTGCAATTACCACCTGCCCTTCACGTGTAAAAAGGGCACAGGTGAGCAGAACCCCCGGAAGGGCCCAGCCTGGGTGGAGTCAGGACCTGAGGCTCCTGCTGGGGGGCCTGGGGCGAGGCTCCTGGTCTCCGGGCTGCTGATGTCCCCTCACCCGCCCAGCAGGCAGACTGGCATTGGTGGGGGGGGGCTCTCCCCATGCCAGTGTCCCATGGCCAGTGGCAAGAGCAGGCCCACTCCTACGGAGGGTGAGGGTCCCAGGCTAGAGGACAGACCGGCCCCTACGCACACAGCCCCCGGGGCCCCCGCACAGAAGGTCACTCACAAGGACTGTCCTGGTTGGGGAGCCCCGCTCTCTTTGGGGTCCCCATGCATGTCGGTTGTCAGGTCCCGATCCTCCCCTTGGAGTCTGTTGTCACGGAGGTGCTGGTCGAACATGACCCTCCTATTCCTGTGCCCTGCCCAGACCTCCTCTCTGTCCCACTGTTTTCATAAAGTCACAGACCATCTGCCCGGCACTCGCCCCTTTTTCCACCCTTCTCCCTCCGTGTTGTCTTTCCCTCAGCCCCTCAAGAACCTCCTTTTTTTTCCCCGCCATGCTGCTCTAAATCACGGAGGAACCCAGATGTTAGAACCTATGGTTCTCAGATGCTTAGCGCAGCGTGAAAATGCCCCTCTACCAGCAGCCGGTCCTCACGGCCGGCTATCCAAGCACGGTGCCCCTTGCTTGGGCTCTGGGCTGTCTCATCACGGCCAGAGGGGGCCACACCGGCTCATCACGGGCATGGGTCATCACGGGAGACCCTCTGAGAGCCCTTTCTCAAGGGTGTTTGCCCCTCAGTGGCCTGCGGAGACCCCCCCGTGGTGGAACACGCCAGGACCTTCGGGCAGAAGAAGGACCGGTACGAGATCAATTCTCTGGTGCGGTACCAATGTACAGAGGGCTTCGTCCAGCGCCACGTGCCCACCATCCGGTGCCAGCCCAGCGGGCACTGGGAGGAGCCTCGGATCACCTGCACAGACCGTGAGCACCGCCCCTCCCCCACCCCTGGCTGGGCACAGCGTTAGATCCTGCCACCAGGTCCTCCTTCCTGCTCCCGGAGCCCGGCAGTGGCTGGCCCTCTCCTGGGGGTCCTGAGCACCAGCTGTCTGCGCTATCCAGGGGTTCCATCCCACTCACTCCCCCTGCCTTCAGGGAGGGCTCGTTCTCACCTTCGCTGAGAGGATGAAGGAAAAAGCAGGTGGCCGGCTTCTTCAAGACCAGCTCAAAGCCCCTCGGCCCAAGTTGGGGCCAAGAAAAATCAAAACCAGATAGCGGGTAAAGCCTCAGGTTGCCCTTCTTGAGCCCATGGTTTCTGCAGGGAAGGGGAGCCAGCCGAGGAGGGGCAAGTGGGGAGAGGCTAGGCTACCCCAGCTTCCTTTGGAGCAAGCAGTCAAGATTTCCGGTCTCCCTTTCACCCCAGCCTCCACATACAAGCGCAGACTACAGAAGCGGAGCCCACGGGCCCCACGGAGGAGCCGACCCAGCACAGCCCACTGAGAGCAGCTTCCAGGACACGCCCAGGATGCTGAGCCCAGGAGCCTCGCCAGGCTGACATCCCACACGGATGGTGTCCTCTTCTTGTCGCTTTCTGTCATATAAGGAATTCCATTAAAGAAGGAAAAAACCAAATCCCACATTGTGTATGCACCCGCCCCCCGCCCCCCCAAATCGCCAACACTGCATCTGATTTTCCCCCCCAGTGCCAAAGCAAAGCAAACGTATTGTAACCCGTGGACTGAGTCTAGAGACATTTCTTCAATCTCCCGTTGTGCCTTTCCAGGGACCAGTGCAGGGACAGGGGGAGAAGGGGAGGGGTTAAGTTAAATAAAGAAGATTATTTTTTGTTTCCTGACTTTATCCAAGAGCAGTGCAATGGTTGGTTCTTTCCCCTCCGGGGAGAGCTAGGGAGGAGGGAGGAAGGGGCCCGAAGAGCTGGGACCAGACCGCAGCTGAATGTATTGGATGAGGGGGCCGGAGGGCCGCACCATCTGCGTTGGGGGAGAAGCCTGGGGGAGAGGGGGCGGGCTCCACTAAGGGTGAGGGGGCAGGAGAGAACTGCCGAGGGATCTTCCGCTGCGTGGGAGGGGTCGGGTTCCCTCCCAGGGTCCCTCTTCCAGTGTCCTCTCACCCGGGCTGCCACCCGAGCAGCTGTCCATCTCAGCAGGGCTGGGTGGGAGGGGCACTTCCTTCCCAGCGGGAGTGCCACCCCAACCCCTCCCCTCCCCCCACACCCCCGGGACGGTGCAGGCACCAGAGTTCCGTGCACCTATTTATATTTTTGAAAACTGAAGATTATGATAATTATAATAATAAAGACATTGGAAGAGATCTCTTTCTTTTCTTTTCCCTTTTTTTAATAAAAAAGAGAAGGCAACCAGCGTCTGAGGTCTACCAAAGGGGCTCTTAGGAATGGAGGGCAGTTGGGACATGTTTCCATCAAATGACCCCAAAGTGGGTGAATCTTGTCTCTTCACAAAGCCTGGAACAGTCACACCTATTGTACTTATTTTTATGAGGGTACCTGTGCGTTTGATGGAGTGTGTGTGTGTGTGTGTGTGTGTGTCGGCCAATGGGTGTGGCGTGTGCATTTACTCTCAAAGGACAATTCAAATGAGGCATCTGGTTACTTTGCATCGTTTGGTTCTTTGATAGCACGCTGCTCCCATAGGAGATGCCTGGTAGAGTCAAGAGCAGAGGCAAAATCAGGATTTCTAAGAGGCAACAAAAACAGTTGCAGACAGCCTGCAACACATGTAAGCCTTGCTTACACATAATTGTGGTTAGCTAGTTCGCTGGCCACTAGCCAAAAGGTCTGGGCATCCTGCCCTCAAGGAGGCTAGAGGGTATCGACGAAAACAATTTGGATTTCTTATGGATTCCCCCTAAGAGACCTTGAGCGGGGCCAGGCGTGCATGGCAGGCACTGTCCCCTCCCGAGCCTGCTCATCACAGTTGCTCAGTGGGCCCTCGCGTCTGTTTGTGTGTCTGGGTGCTGGTTACTGCGTGCTGCTGTGAGTTTGCTGGTATGTTTTTGGGTGTGTATATGTGTGGCCCAGTATTTGTTGGTGAATATAGACACGTGTCCAGATTACCTATGAGTCTGGAAACAACAAGTGGACGAAAGTAGAGAGGGTACAGTGATGTCACATAGCTCAAGAATTATGTAATTAATTAACCGATCAGTTGGGAGTACAACGATGTCTGTGGTTTTCAAACTGGAGCCTGCATCAGAATCAAGAGGGTTTGGTTTCTCCCGTGGCCGGTCTGGGGTGGGGCCCAGAAATGGGCAGTTCTAATAATTCCCCAGGGATGCTACCTGGCCACCCTTTGAGAAGCATGGGCCCGCGCGAAGAACGGACTCCATAACTGAGTGTGAGTGGCAGAGGTGTGCCTGAGCAGACGCAGGCCTGCTTTCCTGAAGCTGGGGAGGGGGCTGGTCTCCGAGATCTTCGGGGGACGGTGGGGGAGGGCACGGCCCCCTCTGTGTCCTGAGAGGAGCCTCCTCCTCTTCTGGGCCCACGCTGACACACAGCCCGGGAGCAGAGATGGTGGGAGAGCAGGCCGGAGCCCCCAGCTGCTAGGCCAGCCCCGAGGCAGGGTGGGCCACGCGGCAGGCAAGCCAGAACCTCGGGGGCCTGAAGGCGCAGCCCCCAGAACTCCCTGAAATAGAACTGCCCCCCGCTCTCCCTGGAAAGGGAGCTGGGCCCCGGGACTGAACGAGGCAGAGAGCCAGACACGGGGATGGGGGGGCACGTCACAGCACCATTTATTGTCCAAAGAAAGTACACACACCTGAGGGCCACTCCCTGAGCAGGGAAAAAGGAGAACAAAATACAGACTCTTTGGAGTGAGAAGGAAAAAACGGGGAGAGAAATTTCTCCCTTCCCTGGGACTTCACGCAGAAGCCTAGGGACCCGCTTCCAGCCCTAGCCCTCAGCTGCCCTGATCTGGGCCAGCAGCTTCTCAGAGGAGGAGGCAGGAGACCGCAATGCCCAGCTCCAGGGCCCCCTGGACACCCTCCCCTGCTATCCCAGGCTGACGAGGAGGGGCAGGGACAGCCACCACGTGTCACTGGGAGACAGGGAGAGGGGCTGCGTTCAGTGACAGTGGAGAGCCCTTGTGAGCCCACGAACCTCTACTGGCCTAGAGGAGAGGGGCAGAGGGATTCCTGGAACGGGGGAGCCTTGGGGTGTCCACCCGAACAAAGGGAGGATTTGGAAAGCTGGATTTACCAAAAAAAAAAAAAAAAAGTAATTTAAAAAAATTTAACTTGGGATGTATAAAAACCGCACAAAAATTGCCCCAACCTGCAAGGGAAAATGAACCACTCAATAAATACAGCGCGAGAGGGGAGGCGCGGGACCCCTAGCGGGGCCGGTAACAATATACGCCATACTCCCGGCTCCGCGGGTCTGGGAAGCCGAAGCTTCGGACGCCGGGCTCCAGGGGCCCGCAGTTGGGACGCGGGCGAACCACAGGGTAGCGGGCACTGCCATCCGCCAGCCAGCCGGCATCACAGCGGTCCAAGCCACGGAACTTCCAGGCAGCAAAGAGCTGGCCCACCTTGGCAATGTGGGCGCCGTCTTCCCGGCAGGCCTCCTTTGCCTCTGCCAGGGTCAGCTTCTTGGGGTGCTCCAAGTAGTATACCTGCCCTGTGGGAAAGTGGGGCGTGAGGGCTGGCCGGCGGAGGGGGCAGCCAGAGAGGACGGTGGGGCCCGCAGAAACGCCCGCCCATCGGACCTCCCCAAACAGAGCGGGCAAGGACGAGCCCAGGGAGCCACCAGGCTGTGGGCACTTGCCATGTGTCCTTTGGGAACGTACCTTCCCAGTTCTGACCCCCTCTCTGAGGGTTCCATCCCACCTGCCAGGGGGCTGGGGTCCCTCCAGGCATGTCTGTACTCCACCTCAGCGTTCCCGAACTGCACCCTGGGTGGGCACCCCGCCTAGTCTGCACCAATCAGAGTCGCTCGCCCACCCAATCATTTACTGAGTCCCGGGGCGCCTGGCTGGCTCAGTCGCTGGAGCGTGCGACTCTTGATCTTGGGGTTGTGAGTGAGTTCAAGCCCCACGTTGGGTGTAGAGTGTATTTTTTAAGAAAAATCTTTAAAAAAAAAAAAGTCATCATCGCTTCTCGGCCTTTTGGCTAAGATCAAGTGTAAAAAAAAAAAAAGTCATTTACTGAGTACCTACTATGTGCCAGGACACTTTTCTGAATGCTTGGGATGTGACAAGGAACGAATTTCTGTTTTTATTTGTTTCTCTTCCCGTGAAATGATCCCCCTCGTGAGCACAGACGGGGCTTGCTTGGTCTATGATGCCCAGGACCTAGTGTCGGCCCCAGCACGCAGTAGGCTCTCAAAAAATGTCTGATGACCCAGTAAACCAGGGATTGGGGTGAAGCAGCAGTAAAGCACTCAAAACTCAGCCCGACGTGGCTTCCACCCCTGCAGGTGCTCCAAACCTCCAGCTGCAGGTGCCGGCGGGGCGAGCAGAGGGGTCCCGAAGCTCCCCAGATGCCGCCCTCCCACCCCAGGCCCGCGCCTGGCCGGCGCGCTCACCCCTGAGGGCCGGAGCGAAGCAGAAGGCATCATAGCGGTGCAGGGGGTGGCTGCGGGGGCCGTAGCTGCGCACGCCGGGGGCCAGGCCCAGGCCCCCGCAGGGCCGCCGGGCGCGCGCGATGGGGTACTGCACAGAGGCGTCCTGCAGCCAGCCTGCGTTGCACCAGTCCAGGCCCTCCTCCCAGGCCCGGAACAACTGCTCGAAGGAGGCCACCACCGCGTCCTGCTCTGCACACGCCCGCTGGGCCTCGAGGAAGTTGAGCTGGTAGCGCCCCCAGGGGTGCTGGTAGGGAAAGACCACACCTGGGGAGGGAGGAAAGAGGGGCCTGACGGGGTGGGCAGGGGCCCAGCGGGCTGGAGGGACCCCAGTCCCTGCCCCCTGCCCCACTGGGAAGGATGCTCCCCCCAACACACACACACACACTCCCTCAGAGAAGCAAACCCATCATCTCCCATCCGGGTCCAAAACGGAGTCTACGTCTGTGAATTCGCAGGGCTGTTATAAGAACCCCAGTGCCATGGTCTCAATGTGTCCCCCTAGTGCGTGTTGAAATCCCAAGGCCTCATGTGATGGTCTCAGGAGGTGGGGCCTTTGGGAGGTACTTAGGTCACGAGGGCGGCACTCTTGGGAAAGAGATCAGTGTCCCTCTCTAAGAGACCCCACAGAGGTCGCTCACCCCTTCCACCACGTGAGGACACAGTCTCCTCACCTGACTATGTGGGCACCCTCCCATCCCCGTCATATCCGACATCAGGGAGGAGGAGTGTGACCCCTCCAGCTGCCGTCTGGGCCAGACAGGTGGATGCTGATGGTAGAGGTCCCTGACTTGCCTTTCATCCTCCTCTCCTCACAAGGAGGTGGAGGAGGCCCTCATCTCACACTGGAGGGGACGGGAGCTCCGAGGGGACGAGGCGGCCACCCAGGGAGCCACAGCAGGGGCGGGGTGAGCATGGAGCCAGACCATGGTTCTCTGTGCGTCCCAGCTGCCTCCCTCGCAGGTCGGACAGGTATGAGGGCACACAGCCCGTCCTAGAGACAGAGAAGGTAACAGACCCCGGAGATGGCCCACGGGAGCCCACACAAGGTGTGGCGTGAGCACTCTGGTTGGTTTGGACAACACTGAGTTGTAACTGTTGCTTTTTTTTTTTTTTCATTAGAAGATTTTTACAGAAAAGTCCAGAGATGTCACATAAAAGTGTATGCTTCTCTTGTCAAGTCAGAAAACCTGACTGTGTGGGGTCTGCTTCTGGGCCTGAGCAGGGCACTCCTTTGGGATTGGACGAGGGCTCAGCCGCGTGCCCCGTGCCCACCCCTCCCGCCACTCACACCGGGCGGCCTCCTTGGTCCGTGCTGTCTACGACCTGCCGGAGTCTCAGCTCCTGTTTTCCTCTGAGTCAGGTGTGAGCCAGAGGCAGTGGTGGGTTCTGGAGCCAGACTGCCTGGGGGTCAAACTCCTACTCTGCCATTTACGGGCAGTGTGACCTTAGGGAAGTTATTTGACCTCCCTGTGCCTCTGTTTCCTCACCTATAAAATGGGGGTGATGATAGCCGTAGCTTCCCCGTGGGGTGGTTTCAAGGTCTGCATGGCTGCCTAAAGCACAGAGTTCTAGATGGTTTCTCGGGGCCCTCTCCCCGTGGCCCGGGCCCTCGTGTCCCCCCAACCCCCCCACCGCCCACTGGGGCCTCACCCCGCAGCTCCAGCTCCACCAGGCCGCTCTCGTCCTCCAGCCCGTCAATGACCTCACAGCGGTAACGCCCGGAGTCCTCCAGCCGCAGGTCCCGGATCTGCAGCGACACTTCGCGCTCCCCGTCCTGCCGCAGGCGCACCCGGCCGCGGTAGTCTCCGAAGGAGCGGTGCCTCAGCCCAATGGCCACCAGCACATCCTGCTCCAGGGCCCCATTCTCCGACAGCTTCCACCATTTGACGCGCACGGGCCTCGGGGACAGCAGGGCCGGCTCGTAGTGGTAGTGGCAGGGCAGGGTCACGTTGGCCCCCCGGTGGGAAAACAGGGTCTCCTCGGTTGTCTCTACCACCAGCTTCACCCCATTGAAGACGCCTGGGAGAGAGGTGGGTGTCAATGGGGACCTGCTCCAGCACATCCGTGCCCCTGCAAGGGCCACCGCCAGCCTCGGGAGTTACACCTTGCAAGAATGGCCATAATGCGGCACCCCTCCCCGTACCCACACGCTCTGCACTGTGACTTTGCGTCTCCTATCGGGAGGGGACACTCTTCCCCTCCGCCTTGAATCCATGCTGGCCCTGCCACTTCTCTGACCAAATGAACATGACAGAAGTGACGACTCTTCTGTGCCTGCTGGGAGTCTGGGTCCACTCTTTCCCAGGACCTTGCCAGCCCCTGCGACAACGAGCCTGGGCGCACCTGCTAGGGAAGGAGAGCCCATGGGGAGCAGAGACAAGCCCTCGCAGCTGGGGCCATCCGAGGCCAACTAGCCCCAGCGACCTGTCCTACCGACTGCAGACACAGTCAACTTAGACCCCTGGAGGTACACAGGGTGGGGGAGGAGGGTGAGCAGGACATAGGAGGCCCCCTGCAGAGGCTCTCATGCTGAAAAAGCCAGTGGTTCTGGTGCAGTAGTTCTCAAAGCGGTGGGGGGGGGGGGCGGTCCCTGAACCAGCAGCAACAGCATCACTGGGAACTTGGTGGAAATGCAAACTCCCAGGCCCCACCCCAGACCGCCTCTGGGGGTAAGGCCCTGAGTTCAGTGTTTTAACAGCTCTCCAGGTGACCTTGCCGGGCACTGAAGTTGGAGAAGGCTGCTCTAGGACCAGAGTTTTGAGACCACAGGCCTGGGGTCAGATAAGCTGGAATTTTGGCTCCAACCTTCCGCAAGTCTAGTCTAGTCTAGAGAAATCAGCTGACTCTCCAAACCACTTTCCTTATTTGTAGAATGGAGTCACACCAGTAGCTACAGTGGGCTGTGCTGAGGCTCAAATCAGGGAAGGTGGGACATCTGGAAAAAGCACAACAGACGTGAGGCAAGCCTATCAAGTAGTGGCTACTACGTCCTTTGTTTTCCCCCGACGCTTTAGTGAAGCTGTGTTTGAAGCTTTCACCGAAGACACTGAGAATGTTGGGCTAAATCATAATGCCTCCATGTGACAAAACACTACACAGCCGAGTAAACTAACCTGGCAGCTAGATATCTACTCATTGATCTTGGAAAAAAATTGTATCCTATGAAGTGACAGGGAGATTCCCAAACCACATGTAGAGCAGGAGGTGAAAGACAATTTTCCCAATCCTCTATCAAAGGCTGGAGGGACTCACCTAACAGGTTAGCAATGGTTCCCCAGGTGGGGCAGATTATTTGTGATTTTGCTCGCACATATGCAGGGACTGAAGGGAAAGTGGTGAAATCATGGGTAGAAAGTTCAAGTTTTTAAGTTTCCTTGAATCTCATTAAAGTCATGATTGTCTAGGGGCGCCTAGGTGGCCAGGGTTTTTGTGAGGATTGTATGAGACAACGTACGGAAGGCACCGAGAAGCGTACCTGACACACAGACTAAAGAGTCACCCGCCCAGAGGCGCCTGGATGGCTGTTGGTTAAGCATCCGACTCCTGATTTCGGCTCAGGTCGTGATCTCAGCATCATGAGATCAAGCCCCGTGTCGGGCTCTATGCTGAGCAAGGAGCCTGCTTAAGATTCTCTCTCTCCCTCTGCCCTTCCCCCTCGGCCAAAAAAAGTCACCTGCTCAAAGCCATGTAGCTACTAAATGGCAAAATTAAGATTCAAACTCACATCTATCTAATCTCAAACCCCCTTTCCACTGGGGACACTGGGGGAGGTCACACTTAAGATCTTGGAAAACTGGCGGGACTTTGGGAGCGTCCTTAAGCGCACAGGCGATTCGGCTCCAACGCACTCCAAGCCCGAGGGACTAGCAAACAGAGTAACCGAGCCATCCCTTGCACTCCTTGCACTCCTCAGAAATGAGCCTGGTCCGCTGCAAGGGCCCCGAGAGGGAAGGGGCTTCTGGCTCCACGCCCTGTCCCCTGTCGCGACCAGGAGGCTGCATATCACAGCAGGAGCCAGGAGAGGTCCTGGTCCCCCAGCGGAGCATAGAGCCAGAGCCAGGAGGCCGCCCACCTTCGCCGTGGCCGTTGCCCGGGTTCCAGCCGTTGGGACTATTGGAGTAGTAGAAGCCATTGTAGAAAGGCAGGCCCGAGACACAGGGCAGCGGGTACAGCAGGACCAGGAGCAGCGGGCCCATGGCGCTAGGCACGGCTGCAGCGCCGGGGTGTCCGGGGCAGGCTGGGAAGAGAAGAAAAACAAGCCAATGAGAGAAACCTGCTGCATGGGGGGCCGGGGACCCCTGGGTTCCAGCACCCGCTCGCTCACTCGCTCAGCAGGTAATTACGGAGCATCTTCTGCCCAGCAGTTCCTGTTCTCAGAGCCGAGAAGGCCGAGGGCAGAGGGGAGCGAGTCCAGGTCCCTGCCCTCGGGGGACTGCACCCCACAGGCAAGCTGGGCCAGAAGCAAGCCAACAAAGCCTAGGGAGGAGTTAAGAGGAGGCATGAAGTCCGAGGAGAAAATTACAAAGGGCGATAGGACATTATCGACAGTTTTCAGACGGCACGTTTGAATCTGAAAGATTGTGAGCAGCATCTTTTTAATGACACCGAAGGGCCTAGACTAAACTAGAAAATCTCAGGGTGTATTCATGGTTAGTGAGAGGAATCCTGCATTGTCAAGCTTTTGTTTCAGTCCTGAGAGGTCTGTGGTGGGGGGCGGGGTGAATGGGAGGTCACAGATTTCTTACCCTGAGTCAAGGTCAAAATAGGCAGCTAGCCCTTGGGCTGTAGTTTTGTTTATTTGGTTTTTTTTTAATATTGCATTTAAATACATCTTGATGACTGAGTTCTTTTGGTGCACACACACCCTCCTCCCCTGGTGTATTTTGCACTCAAGGCTAATGCCTCATTCACCTCCCCCGCATCTTCCCCCGCCCTCTGCTCATTGCCATTTGCTGAGTGCTTAATGATTTAAAAGACCGGCAGCCTTGGAGGAACTCGGTGCAGAGTCCCGATGCGATGCCGTGTGGGGAATACAGAGGTGGGGTGGAGAAAAGGGGCAGGAAATGAGACTGAAGACGCAGGAGTTAGCCAGGTGGAAAGGACACTGGGGTGTGCCCAGCAGGGGCCCGGCAGACGCAAAGGCCCAGAAGCCAAAGAACACGTGGGGGGCTGGGAATGTGCTGGAAGTTCTCCATTTGTGCCTCTCTCTGCCCTGATCTCTGTTGGCTTCTCCCGGCGCCCTGGCCTCTGGCTTCCAGCGGGATTCGTCCAACGGGAGGCACCCACAGGAGATGGGCGGGAGGAAGGAAAAGCCGTGTCTCTGCAGCACTGTGTCCTCTTGTGACCACAGCCCTGCTGCTGGCTCCTCTCCCCAGCACCTGCTCTCCTGGGCTGTGTGACACTGTTTCCTCCCTTTCCTGCCCACCCCCCCAGGAGCGACTGCCATTGCTTGTCTGTCTTCCGCTCCCCTCTGCGTTGCCCCCCATCCCCACTCTAGAAGCCAGCCACTCCTTCCTTAGAGTCTTTTTGCTGGAACCACCGAGGGTGAATTCTTCCTGCCAAAACCCTGGCTGATCCAGGGGGAGGCGGTGAGAGGGGTCAGCAGGCCCAGCGCCTAGATGCCCTTGGGTCTCCAGCCCAGGCTTTTCCCTCTCTCCTTTGTCCCAAAGGCCCTGGGGTGCCAGTGGGGCCACAGGATCAGAAGAGCCAGTCAGAAACACCCCTCCAGGGGCTGCATTGAAGGGGGACGGTGCGGCAGCAAGGTCAGGGCACAGCGGGCACCTAGATGGAAATATGACTATGATTATCATGCAGCAACGTGGAAACACGCTTAGGGTGTAATTTAAAATGGACAAAGCACAACATGAAAATTGCCCATTTGCTATGATTGTAAGGCTGTGGCCCCGTGAATGTCTGCTGTATGGAAACCAGAATGGGAGAGAACAGCAAAAAGAGGGAGGAGGGTGGGGAGAAAGGAGGGGAGGGGAAAAGAAAGGGGGCGCCTGGGTGGCTCAATCTGTTAAGTGTCTGACTGGCTCAGGTCGTGATCTTGGGGTCCTGGGATCGAGCCCTGCATCCGGCTCTGGCTGGTGGGGGGGGGGTCTGCTTGTCCCTCTCCCTCTACCCAACCCCCCCCACCCCGGCTCATGCTCTCTCTATCAATGAATAAAATCTTTAAAAAGAAAAAGGAGAGGAAAGCATGGAATCTGTAAGGAAGGGTGGTGTGATTCTTATTTCCATAACAGTTAGGTGCCCTTGCTGGGGAGGAAGGAGCCGACGTGGAGGAAGCTGACAGGCAGAAGCCACTGATCTCCTAGACCCCTTTGCAGAGACCCTGAGGCCCAGAGCCGCCCTCTGTGCTGAGCACGGCAGTAGGACACCGTCCTTCTGAGGTCTCACTTCTTGTCCAAGAGGAGTCCCCAGGAGATACCCGTAAAGCCTCACAGGGACTTGGATCTGGGCAGCCCCACCAGGCAGCACAATCCGCAACCTAATACAGAAGTTCTTAGGTAGGAGGATCTGGGTTCAAACCCCATCTCCACTCCTTACAAGCTGTGTGATTCCAGGCAGGTTTCCTCAGTTGTGAAATGAACTTCACTAAACTCACCACGACCTCTGTTTCACCCAGGTGTTCTACTCCTCTCCTACAGTAACAAAGTTCTAGAGAGGTGCATGACTGGTCAGCAGAAAGCTGTAATTCCAGCCTCCCTCTGCAGCGAGGAAGGGTCCTGGGACTCCATGCTGCACAATGGCAGCGAAATAAGACGTTCCCTATGCAGCTCTTGGGTTAAAAGAGTTAGGGATACCATTTCCTGGTATTTCCCTCTACCTGCTGGCGACCAGAGGTGCCACCATAGTCTCAGAGATGTAAATCACGGGTTGAATGACAGAGCCAGGTCCACCAGCCCTGGACCTCCCCCATCTGCCCCGTGTCATGAGAAAAACAAAGTCCTAGCGTATTTAGGCCACCCCACTTTGAGTCTCTTTGTGAACCCAGCGGAGCCTCACTTGGACGGCTCCCATTAGCATAAAAATACGAACAGCTGAGTTTAACAAGCCCTTACTATCTCATTTACTCCTGATCACAACCCCTAGAGGTGGAACCTCTTAGTGTCCTCATTTACAGCTGGGAAGACCAAGGCACAGAGAGATTAAATCATCCGCCCAAGATCATCCAGCGAGGACATGGCAGAGTTGGGATCTGAACCCACTCCAGCTCCAAAGCCCGGAATGACCATGTCAAACTCAGGGAGGTGACGTGTGCAGAGCACACAGCTCAGGGCCTGGCACACAGCAGGCCCTCCTAGGAGAGTCTCCTTTCCCTTCCTTGAGGGTCGCACGTCTGGAACCAGGAAGGAAGTGGAATGAGGACCGAGAGGCTGTTGATACTGAGCTGGATGTCACAGGCCCCACCGTGTCCCTGGGCACCCACAGCCTCTGCCAGCGTAGGGCTCGCAAGCCCCCGTCTGCCGTGTGCCCTGCCTCCTCACAGCAGCTCATCGGGCCCAGATGCCCTCCAGTGAGAAAGGGCTTCCCTGGGATGAGCAAATGGAGGTGTTTCTGTCACAAGGTGATACTTGAGTGCCTGAAAAAGATGCAAATTTTTGCATTAGATACAAATGAGGGGAAAAATAAGGCTGGGGCAGATTCCTCAAAACATCTGCAGCTTTGTAACCAGACTGTTAACAAAACCAGGAAGAGTCCTAATAAAAAAAAAAACACCAGCACCGTGAACTCTCCACTGACCTTGGCACCCAACGCCCTGTCAATCAGCCCTTTGCAGCCTTCACCACCAGGGCAAGGGCTTCCTCCTTTGAGATGTAGGTTTTCGGGGGCCTGGGATTCCAGGAGAAACCAGATTTGCCAAAATTAAGAATCTGACCCAGGGTGGAGCCATCTTCATTTTTTTTTTTAACTCAGGGGAAATGACTTTGCAACTTCACCATGTGATTCCTACGCTTAGCAGAAAACTTTGTGTGAAGCTGCTGTTTAGGCACCCCCATCTCCCCGGATCCATTGCATCCTTGAGATGGTACAAGTTTGGATCCTGAGAGGTGGAACAATTTGGTAGGAAGGGATGCTGCATTGTCCAAATCTATTTGGTTCCCGAGTCTTGAACACTGAACAGCAAAGAGCCTGGATAGTGAGAGATATTCGTATGCATACTTTTCTCCAGGACTGTCAGCGTTTATCTTAAGGAATCCCTAGCTTGCTAAAGCTTGCTCTTTGCTTGTGAGAAATCCTGTTGTAGTCGCTCCAATATGTCAGCATGTTGAGAAAAATCACCACTGGACCAATGTCATTCCATGACACACTGACTTCAGTCCCCCACTGTTCTCACCAATCGTGGATGAGGTCATTCATCGTTCAGAAACATGCACTGAGGCAGGAAAGACTCTAGCACCTTCTGGGTCCTCCAGCGAGCTCCTAGGCACCTCTTCCCAGCCTCTGAGACCCCAGCACACACCCACTCCCTCGGTTTTAAAGGGCTGCCATGTGCAGCGGCTCCCCCGACCCTTCCAAAAACTCCCCAACCCAGTCAGAAAGAATTTTACTCTCCCCAATTAATCCGCAGGTAAACAGAGGCACAAAGACATGAAGCAACTGTCCGAAGGTCACGTGGCCGAGACAGCGGAGGCAGGACTTGACTCCACAGCTCCCATAAGGATCTGTCACGTAGAAGGACTGCCTTCCACTCATCAGTGCACTTGCATGGATGTCATTGTCCGTGGGTTTCACAATGTCAATTTTTATCCCCCTTGTACAGAGAAGGAAACGGAGGTTCAGAAATGCTAAGTTGCAGGGCGCCTGGGCGGCTCAGTCGGTTGGGCATCTGACCCTCAGTTTCGGCTCAGGTTGTGACCCCAGAGTCATGGGATGGAGCTCCGGTCTGGCTCCGTGCTCAGCGGGGAGTCTGCTTGAGGTTCTCGCCCTCTGCCCCTCCCCCCACTCACGCACATGCGCAGGCGCGCCACTTCCCCCCCTCCCCCCCCGCCTTAAAAATAAGAAAAAGAATGCTCAGTTGCATGGCTAAGGTGAAGGTCTTCATCAGGAAATACATGGAGCTGGAATGTGGCCTCATTCACTCAGCAGGTATTTTATCCTGCATCCGCCATGTGCCAGGCACAGTTCTCGGCATGCGGGATACAAATCGGAAGTTGTCAGAGCTCACATTCCAGGGAGGGAAACAGACAGCAAATAGGATATGGGACATCCGTGTTGTCAAAGGGTCGCATGTGCTAGAGGACACAGAAACAGAAGTTTCCTGGTCTCCAGAGCAGACTTAACAGGGAAGTTCGGGGGTTGAAGACAAATGACCACCCTGAATGTTAGGCGAAAGCCAACCACCACCACTCAGGGAAGCAAAGGACAGGCAGCCTGGGCTCCCTGACCCTGGCCACCCTGGGGGCCGTGGGAGGCTCCCCAAATCAGCTGGAGCTTTGCCCGGGGAAAGACACACCTGCACCCTGCTGAGTGACCTTGAGCAAGTTACTCAACCTCTCTGTGCCTCCATGTCCTCATCTGGGAAAAAAAAAAAGGATAAATACTAGAACCTCACTTTAGGACTGTGGTGAGGATTATATAAGATGAATTATGTCCAGCATCAACACATAGCAGGTGCTCCACAAACAGTTGCTAATACTTATTGGCAGAAGAACATAGCGGCAGATTTCGGGTTCTAGAATCAGACCGGCTACCGGGATTTGGTTCCGGTTCGCCCCAATTACTAACAGGGTATCAGTGGGCAAGTCACTGAGCTTTGCTTTCCTCATCTGTAAGATGGAGGTCACAACAATTTTAACCAGAATACATTTCTGTAAAAATTAAGGGAGAGCATGTCTGCAGAGCACTTAGAACGCTGCCTGGCAGGAGGGCAGGCACTCACAAAATATAGCGGTTATTACTATTGTTAAAAGTGCAGTCTCCCCTTATTTCGGTGGATCTTTCTCCCCTCTCACTGCCTAGGAGAGAAAGCAGCCACCATTGCCTTCTCTTTACAGTTGGGGAAACTGAGGCCAAGGGCGTGGAAGTGAGTGAAGCATCCAAGGCTTTATCTTTGGTAAACAGGCAGAGGTTAGAGAAAATTCTCAAGTCTCCTGGCAGCCCATCCTTTGCTTTTCCGAGCACCACTTGCCTCGGGACCCCTCCCCATGGCAGAATAAGGGGAACCCCAACTCGGAAGGAAGATGGGGCCCCCCAGGCTCTCCTCACTTGTCCGACGGAGTGTAGCGTTCCCCCATCCACCAGCAGGGGGCAGCATTGCCCTCCAGGTTTCCACAAGCCCCAGCTCTCGGGGAGGAATTTGACTTCGGGGGGCCGCCCCGTTTAGACAGGGCTTACACGCGCCTTTGAAACCTGTGGCCCCCGGAAAGTGAAAGCCGGAGGTGTTTCCTACCAGCATTCCCAGCCCGCTGGCCCACGTAGGGCCGCGGGGGAGCGGCCAGGGCACCTCTCATTCCTCCCCCTGCTGCAGAGAGCAGAGGCACTCCCGGGGGTCAGGGCTGGGCACCACGGTCCAGGCCGGGTCATACAGGCCGCTGGGGCCACCCAGCGAGTTGGTGACAGAGCTGGGTCCAAGAGCCCGCGCTGCTTCCTTCCTGGCCGCCCACCGGCCCTAAATGCCTCCCTGAGCGACCCCATCTCCTACCCAGGGCGCTACTCGCCGCCCTCCCTCTGCGCCTCTGGTCTCGCTGCCCTAAGGCAGAAACCCCCGCGAACCGAGGCCTGAAACCGACGGGCATCCTTTGCGCTTTCCCTGGGACAGCCGAGGGGGCGGCAGAGGCCAAGAGGCGCAGGTCTGCCCGTTCCCCAACCCCCACGCCACCCCCGGGCTCCCGCGGACCCCGGAGCATCCGACACATGCCGCGGGGCGGAGCCCGGCGCGCCGCGCACCGTGCGGGAGGCTGCAGGACCCGGACGGCACGAGACGGGCAGGGATCCTGCGGGCCCCGGTGGCAAAGGGGCTGGACCGGGCGGTGGTCTCAGAGGCATCGGGTTTCGCTGGGGATGTGCCTCCTCCTGGCGCATCGGGGGGTCCCGCGCAAGTCAGCCCGCGCCCCCGCGCTGCTCCCCCCCGCCCCCGAACTCGCGCCCGGGGCGCTCCCCAGGAGCGATCACAACCCAGCTCCGCCCGGGCCCCCGCGGTGCCCAGCGCACTCCTCCTGCCCGCTTCCCCGACCCTGCCCCGGGAGACGTGGGACCCCGCGGGAGACCCAAAGCGGGGAGGAGCGGGGGAGCACGGACCGCAGGGGGCTCCAGAAGCCCGGCCACCCCCGAGCTACGTACCGTCCCCAGGCGGCTCTTGGACAGCTGGAGCGCTCCCAGCCCAGGACTGTCCGGGTCCGAGGAAGCGGGCGGATTTGGGGGATCTTGAATGGCCCGAGAGGAAGCGGCTGCGGACAAACCCCCGCGTTCCCGCCGGGCCAGCCCCTTAAAGGAACACACGCCCCTTTCTCTCCCAAGAGCTGGGCCCAAAGGGAGGAGTTGCTGCCGACTTGGCTCCAACTCTGAGATGCTAGCGGGGTGTAAAGGGAATGTCCAGGAGTTACTATCACATCTTGGAGAGGGGTAAGTGGGAGATGGAAGAGGTGCGTGATTGAGGGGGGTCCCATTAGAGCACTCTGGTTTATCCAGAACAGTGGGACTAAACAGGGGGAGCCCCTCTCCAGCACTCTGCCGGTGGGCTATGGCTGCCCCCCACTTTCAGGAGCAGGAAGGGTAAACGTTCTGTATGCTTACCCCCCATATAAGGCAAGGGGACACTGACCTTCCTCCTGCCCATGAGTTTAGCCATCATGAAATCCCCAGGCGACTGTTAACTCAATGTCAGGCACAAGGACGCTGACCCTAGTAGGAGGGGCTTGAAACAGTGGTCTTGGGGGAAGGGAAGGCCAAATTAGGGGTGCCCCCGCAGCTAGCAGGGGCAACCAGGCTTCTGACTGGTGCTCCAACAGGGGCAGGGCCCTCCCTTAGAATCCTGACATCTGTCTGTCCAGCCATCCAGCAGGCACCACCTCCCAGGACTTCTGTTTGGACAGGGGGTTTTGTTTCCATCCTGGTCAACAGGGGTCCTGGGCTGGACAGTTTCCCTCAGCAGAAAAGCCTAGAGCTCCTTCAACCCTAGTCGGGAGAAGGGTCACAGGTCACGGGGTCACTGAGTCCAGAGTCCATTCTTAAACATGCTTCAAATGCCTGAGTGCATGCATGTGCATGCATGTGTGTGCGTGTGTGCGTTACACAAGAGCCAGGAGCACATCAGAGCACAAAGAGCTGCAGTGAACTAGAAGGTACACTGTGGCCGAAGCAAATGCCAGGCATCAGGGAGCCAGTGAAGGTTCCTCCACGAGGAGGCGAGACCTGTCTGACCTCTGCCTGGAGATGGATTGGAGGAGAAATAAGACTCAAGTACCAATTAGGAAACTCTTGCAAGCTTCTCTGATGAGGAGGTGACCCGTATTTGAGGCCTCCACCGGGCCAGGCTTTGCATCCGGGCATCTTCTCTGTCAGCTTCCACAAGGCCATGGAGCCAGTCTTGTTATTTCCATTTTACAGATGAAGGACTTGAGGCCCAGAGAAATTTAAGTAAATTGCCTAAGGCCGCTTGGAGCCAAGATCTAATGACTCTACCCTATTTAAACCAGGAACAGAAAGGAGAGCAGACTCCTGGGAGAGGTGGGTCAAGGGGTCCCAGTGCTGAGAGCCACAGGGGAAGGGGGAGGGATCACAGCCAGGCAGGTCAGTTTTGCTCCAGCAACTCAAGTTTCATGCGCCAGCCACGGCCAGGGCTGGCCGGCAGGTGGATCTCCGTACTGGCTCCCCAGACCGCGGTCAGGAACGAAAAAGCAAATCTGGGGAGGAGATGGTGAGCGCGTGTGGCAGTGCGGGAGGCCGCCCAGGGGGTCAGGAGCGAGGGCCCCAGGCTCTCCGGAGTGGGACTTCCACAAGGCTATGGCCAACTCATCCAAGGTTACAGAGATAAGCAGAAGGGCCTGCATGGCTTAGGCCATTCCAGAGTGGCCTCGGGGCTCCTGGGCCCGGTAGGGGCCTTGTGACTACAACCTTGTGACTACAACCGAATGAGACTGACCCGCAGCAAACATTCAGTGCCACCACAAGGGTTGTGGACAGATAGGAGTGAAGCCCTCAGTTTTCCCTTATGCAAGTGGGACTCCTTGGGTTCCAGCAAGTCCCCGCACAGTTCATTCCTGCGGGGGGTGGAACCATCCCAGAGCAAAGGCGCGGAGGAAAGAAGCTTCTCCCACTGTTAGTCCCAGGAGAGGCCAGAACGGGGTTGTGGCTAGGAAATGCTCCCAAAACGGAGTCCGGAGGCCAGCAAATCTCCCCAGCCCCCCAGACTGACTCCACGACGCAATCCATGCAGCTCCACGGAAGAGATCTCTGAAACAGGAAGGAGTGGGCTGAAAGATCCCCAGGGGTAGGGAGCCCCAATCCCCAGTTCACTCAAAGACCACAGCCTGGGCCTTTTATTCTGTCCCTGCCTGGCTTAGAATCCCTGGCAAGGGCAGCTCTCAGGAAGGAGCCACTTCCAGACTAATTTTCCCCACGAAGTTCCAGCAAAGCCACACCCTCTCTTTGGCAGCCCCGTGGCCCGGATCTGCTGCCATGTCTACGTGTATCACAGCATGGCTCCCAAAGTTTGTTCCAGAAAATTCACCTTGTGTCCCAAGGCCTGGGATACTAGGGTGGTTTCCCATACCCCTTTCCCAGCTACTCCGTCCCTCCTCTACCTGCCGGTCTCCTTCCCAGATCACCAGGGCACTGGCCTGCACTGCCCCTCACTGGCTACTTCCTGATGTCATCAGCCTGGAGGGCAGGGTGGTGAGGGCGGAGGGGGACCCCTGGAGCTTGCCAGCAGCCTCCCAGGAACCAGTGTGCTCAGCCAGGAGGCCTCGTGACCACTCGGCAGAGCCCTGGCCACTTCCTTCCCGCCCTGCATCCCACCCCGGAGCCTCCCACAGCTCTGAAAGCAGCCCAGGTTCGTGGAGTTTCTAGTCGTTTCTGCAGCCCACCACTCCAAATGTAGAGAAAATGCCGAAGGGGAAAACCCAACAGCCTCAGCCATGTGCTCCTGGTCTGGTAGGAGAGCAAAGGCATTCGTGGAGACAGCTCTGTGCCAGGCACCCCCTTGCCCCTCATTGGGCCCTAGCTCTGGGCCCCGGGGCTGCATGGGTGTGGGGGGTGGAGGACAGAGGGGAAGAGGCCGGGCATCGGGACTCGGAAGTGGGAACCCTCAGGAGTCCCCTCCCTTCTCCCGCTGTTCAGCTCTCCATAGCTGGCAGGTGACACGAGTATGCTGGCCTCTGGGAGGGCCGAGGGGGGAAGGGTGGGAGCACCAGCCCAAAGCCCATGTGGACGGAGCAATGATGAACCCCAGCAAGAGTTCCAGGGGGTGACATAAATATATTTTGGAAGCTGCCTGTGTACTCTGGGGGAAAGAACCAGCACAGAGGGTGCCCCCCCCAGGCCACCCACCTCCACCCCTTCTCTCCATAAGCCCGCCCACCCCACCCCATTCTGTCTCTTTTTAGGCCAAGGGTCAAGAGAGGTCTCCAGGAAGATAAGGGGGACGTGTCGGGGACTAGGTGGCAGCTCTGAGCGGCAGCATCGTGCTGAGGGACAGGAGACTGTTATCCTCCAGCCTGGCGCCTCAGGGCTTCCTCCGGGGGCCGTGGGAACGTGGGACGTGGGGTGCGGGAGCGAGTGTCGGGAAAACACAAGAGACTAGAACCAGGGATCCGGGGAGGTGCAGGTAACCCCCACTCCCTACTTTACCCTTCCCTGTCCGTCCCAGACCTACTCAACTCCCACAGTGCCTAAGAGAATGGGAGGGCAGGAGGGGTGGGTGCCAGGGCCACGGGGGAGGGGAGGGGCGGGGCAGGGGGGAAGGCGAGGTGGCTGAAACCCCCACCGCCAGCCGCCGACAGTCAGGAGGTGGGGTGGTGGAGGAGGCAGCGGGCCAACAGCAGGCCAGGAGGACCAGGTAAGGGGCCCTTGCGGTCGCGGTCACTCCGGCCAGGCTGACCACTAACAGCCCAGCAGCTCCACGCGCAGGGTGATGCGGTTGTGCCAGGCGACGGGCAGGATGCGCACAAAGCGAGCCAGGAAGGGCATCTCAAACATGTTCTTCTTGTGGGAATTATTGTCCAAGTTGCCAGGGAAGATCTGGAGGCAGAGGGGTTGTCAGGAGGGCCCCAGGGCCAGCCCCCCCCACCTCCCCTCAGAGCCCCCGGCCAGACTCGAAGGGCACCCCTGGACGGGTGACAGGAGGTCAGCCGGCCAGACACTCACCTTGCTGTCGATGGCCCCCTGGTCCCTGTACTCGGCCCAGTTTATGCTGTCGTTACTGTAGGCCACCTTGTAGGCTGCCACGTACTGGATGTGGCCAAAGTCTCGGGCCCCCTGGGTAATGATGCCGGTCACTTGCCTCTGGGAGCCCAGGTCAACCTACAGGGAAAACCAACCACATTTTCTTTGTGTAGACCATTCTCTCCAGTAAAGTGGGAAAAGGCAGACAGGCTGGGGCCTGACTTCTAGTCTGGGGGAAGCTACTTCATTTGCACCACCTCCTCATCTAGACCATGGACATAAACCCTGTCACCTACTTTGTCACGCTCTGGTAGACACTTCGCTGCAGTGAAGCTAGAGTTCACAGCCTGGGCCTTGGCCAACCTGCAGCTGATCCCCACCGCACCCCACCCCGGTACGAAGAGAATAAGGACAGGAGAGCTCCTGGAGCGGCTCCTGAGGGGTCCTGCGGGGCTGTCCGCAGCCTGGCAGGGATCTTGAACGAGTCCAAATGCAGGCAGTTCCTCACAGAACCCGGGTCCACAGACTGATGGCGACTGGGGGCCGAGAGACAAACCTCCTGCCCCCGGTCCCTGACCATCCTGGGGAGCCTGCCAGAGGCCTCTGGACAGGCAGTCCCAAGACCCGGCTTGCACACCTGGCTTGCTGCCAACAGCAGGTGAGGCCCAGGCAAATCCTCACCCTGCCGGGACGGTTCCCTCATCTCTAAGATCAGTGGACACTCCAGTTTTCTGTGCCTCTCCTGGTTCCCAATTTCATGAAATCCGAGGGCTGCCCCATGGTGTGTTCTCAGACGCCGAGTCAGGCAGAGAAATCCTGAGGTGTGCCTGCCTGGGTCAGGTGTCCCTCCTCTGTCTTGCCCTCCTGTCCATGGGCTCAGCCTTGTCACCCTGTGGCAGCTGGTGGGATGGCCCTACACACATACACACACACCCCCCTTCACCCCTTCCTCTGCCTGGGGCTTGGGGCCTTGTCTCGGTGCAAGCAGCCCTGAGTTCCCCCACCCTCCCCTTCGGGAGTTGCAGAGTCAGAAGAAGGTGGGGCACGTGGGACGGGGAAAAAAAACAAATCTGAAGAAAAACAAGGCTTTTCAGACAATTCCTCTCAGGGAGCAGAAGCCTGGGCTGGGCGGAGGTCAAAGATCAGCAACCCCATAGATCCCACCCAACCCCAGCCTTGCAGCCCTGCACCCCGACCCACCTGCAGCCACTCAGAGGCATCATTGGTCTGAGCGGTCCAGGCATTGAACTTGCCCTGCTTGTCCAGCCGCGCATAGAAGGGAAACCAGCTGAAGGCATTCAGGCCCCAGGTCCTGTAGATGCTGGAGGCCGTGATCTGCTTGTCGGGGATGGAGTTGTCCTTCATGCCCAGGGGCTCAGCACATCCTGCCAGCAAGGAGGTTTGTCACGGAGGTCAGGACCCGCAGCCTCCCAGAAGCAACAGCATGAGGCGACCACGGGGAGGAGCTGTGGATCCTGACCAGCCCCGGGCAGCCTCTTGGTTTTAGAGCCAACCGTTGTGCTTTCTCTCTGCCCACCTCACCGACTCCTCACCTGGGCCAGCCGCTCTCCGTTCCCACCCTGACCCTGACTTGCCCTTTCCCAGATCCCCCACCACCTGCCCCCTCTGCATGAGGGCAGGCCCTGCCACCACCTCCCCCTTGCCTTCGAGGCCTGACTCATGAGACACCTCCTCCAAGAAGCCTACCCTGACCACCTCACTTTGGCGGGCCTTGGGCCTCCACGGGACTCAGCCCTTCTCTCATTCCTACGGTCCAGCTGCTATGTAACAAGGCTGAGGCCTATGATTTTTGTCAAGAACATCAGCAACAAGCATCCCATTGATCCAGGGCTCACTTCTGCCATTTCATCTACCACAAGGAACCTGAAAGCCGTATCAGTAACCCCATTCTGCAGGCGAGGAAGCAGGCTGAGAGACAGTAAGCAGTGTGCCCACGTCTCTCTCTCACACACACACACACACACACACACACACTCCTAATGACCACACCAGGCTGTGATATCATTGCCACCAGGCACGCCCCCTCCCAGAGCCATGAAAGCCTACCTGCTGGTAACCCAGGGATGAAGGGGACGCGGCTGTCCTCCAGCAGGTGGAAATGAGAGCAGTCAGAATCCCCGGGGCTCAGGGCAGATCCCGTCCCCTTGCCCAGCAGCCCCTCCCTCGGAGTCCCCCAGGGGGCCTTCACACTCAACACTGACCACGCCGGGTGCTGTCACTCGGGCCTGGGCACAGGCCTGGCCCACTCAGCAATGCGCCCAGCTGTTCGGCACAGTCATCCCCACCTGCAGGTGGCCGGAACAGTTAGGGGGGGACAGGAGGAGACAAAACTCCCGAGAGAACGATGGGTGTGTCTCACGCCTGGCGGAATCCTCATTCCGCTCTGTCTGTCCTTTGGGGGCCTCTGGGGGTGGGGGAAGCAGGCCTGGACACCCCCGCCTCCAGCTGGGAGCAGGCTAGAGTATATGGTGCTTACACCACCGTCTCCCCAGACGCCTGCACTCGGGCCACTAAAGACTTTGCCTCCAGCTGTGTCGGTATCCACCTGCTAATCGCACCACCTCCTTGTGAGGGGTGTTCGCCAGGTCATCCCCCCGCTCCTCTCACAGGGAGAGGCTACTGGGCTGGGAGGCGGGGTGTTCCCGGGAAGCCTCAGGCCTGGGGCAGCTTTGCAGAGGATGCCATGATCCTAGGCTCAAGGGGGACCCCTCTACAGATCCACTGCTTCCCTGAAGTTGGTGCCCCCTCACTCCTGGGCCTCCTGACAAAGTCAGGCTTCCAGGGGAAATGCCGTTGGGAGGGGCACTGAGCCAAAGGCCAGGACTCTCCGCTCCATCCCTCACTATGTGACCCTGGGAAGGACCCCAGGGAAGAGTGCTTCTCGTAGACCAACGAAGGATCTTGTTAAAATGAAGATCCTGTTTCCACAGGTCTAGGGTGGGGCTGGAGCCCGTGTTTCTACAAGCCCCCAGGTGATGCTCACACTACTGGGTCCTTGGAGCTCACTTTGAGGACTGTAACCCACCCAACCCAGCCAGTCTACCACCCTGACCCAAGCCACCTTATCTTCCCACAGGACTGCCCTCACCCACGATGGCCCTCTGCCCCCATTCTCCCCACACAGCCTAAGGGATCCCTTCTAGACACACTCCAATCCTGTCCTATTAGCACTCCCCCTACCCCCACATGGCTGCCCCTTGTTCTGAGGATAAAGATCTGAATCCTTAAAATGATCCATACAGCCCAATTCGTCTGGCTCCATCCACCTCTCCAGCCTCACTACCCAGGAAGCTTCCCCTCACTCTCTAGGCTCCAGCCCCACTGGCCAGCCTTCTATCCTTCAGCATGCCCCAGGGCCTTTGCACTTGCCAGCTCCTCACATGCCTAGAATGCTCTTTCCAAGTTCTTCATGAGGCTTGCTCTGTCATTCAAGCCTCCACTCAAAAGTCATCCCAACAGGGGAGTCCTCATGCCCAGACCTCAGCCCCACACATGTGCACACACGCACACACACGTGTACATACACGCACACACCAACACTTTCACCAGCCCACTGGAATGCCAATTAGGGAAAGGAGAAGATCCAGATCTTGAGGAAAGCAGACAGGACAGCCTCCACAGCTTGCCAGGCTCGCCCTCTCTTGGCCTAGGAGGGAGCCGGCTGGGATAGGACCATGAACCATGCAGGCAACTTTAATAGCCAAAGGCTGCAGAGCCCCCAGACCTGTCCTGTACCAATAGCTTAAATGTTCTTTTAGCAGAAGGCAGTCTGTAACTCCCCATTTAAACAATAAGGCTCCAAAAGGCAATGACCCTGGGAGAGGGAATGTGATGACTTAAATTCACATTTTAAAAGGACGGGTCTTGAGTAAGACAAGAAAGGCAGAGAGCCACCTTTTGGCTCTGCAGCTCCGCCTAGCGAGCCCTACAGTTCCGCCAGCGGCCAGCAGGTGGCGCTGTGTCTGCAAAGAGAGGGAAAGAGCCCCGGGAGAGCCCCGGGAGAGCCCCGGGCTGAGACAAAGTTGCTTAGCCCAGCCCCTGCCGCCTGACCTGGCCAGTGATGACTTTTTCCTGGCTCATCAGAAAACCGATCTCTTCCTGGTGCCCCCCACCCCCCATCCCTCCATCTGGGACTCTGTCTGGAAAGGGCAGCAGAAAGGCATCAGCTCCAGCCCTAGGACTCTAGAAGTCCCCACGTTTCTCTTAAATGATGAGTTACAGGAGGTCTGGGGGAGGTTGCGGGGGTGGGGGGAGAGAAACACTAAGTGGGTGGGGGTCAAAAGCCCAGGGATTAGACCAAGTTTTAACACCTACCAGCTTGTGTGCACTTGATAAATAATTTATCGGGGCCTCCCTTTCTGTATTCATTCACTCGTTCATTAAATGTTTATTGAACATCTACAATCCAGGCACTGTTCTAGGCACTGGGACTAGAGCCGTGAAGAAAACAAACTCCCTGACCTCATGGAGCTGACGTCTGTAAAACAGAACTCATGCTACATGTTCTAGAAGCTCAAGGAACCAATCAGAATAACAGAAAATACTTCACAACTGAAAGGGTGTCTTTTTTTTTTTCTCCCACCAACCCAAATGCCAAGGGTTGGCAGATCACAAACACGGAGGCAAGCGCTCTGAGAGCCAGGGGATCCCTCCCGTGGGCATCTCCTGTGGGAGCCCAGGTCCCCCGCCTTGCTGCCGTCCTACCCAGCTCGGCCTGGCTGAGAAGGAAGCGGGCAGAGAAGCCCATTTCCTAGCATTGACCACAGCCCCCCTGTACTCACCATTCAGCTCACAGCCAAGGAGCTCAAAGCGGAGGGTGCAGCCCCGGTGGCAGATGATGGGCACTAGCCTCACGTACTGTACCTCCAGAGGGAAGTCAAACAGGTTGACCTTCAGGCCACTGTTGTCCATGTTACCCACAAATATCTAGGGGGAAAGCAGATTGGAGGAATGGGTCAGTGTGGGCAGTCCAGCTTCCTGGGGTTGCCTCACCTCCCTCGTCAGGCCTGGGAGGCAGACATGGGGCTTAGCAGAGCCAGCAGGGGGCCAGTTCTTCCTCTGACCACCCACAGCCCTCAACACAGATTCCCCTCGCAGACCTTTCTTGGTCATCATGGGGCGTGGGCATAAACCCCTTTCACACAGGGCCACCCATCATCTATAGGGTGCCTCTGCAAATTAGGATAAGGCACTCCTTTCTCAAGACACTTTATTATACTAATTCCCCCACAGGCAGAAGTACACAAACCTATGATGTCCACATCGTGCATGGTGCTTAGTAATGACCTCCTTGAGCAGTATACAACCTGCACAACGTACATGGTAGCCCTGAATGCTCAGAATGCATCCTACCTCCACGACTACAGCCACCCTCAACAGGTCATTGAAGCTTTCTGAGTTTCGTTATTCTCATCTATAAAGTAGGAACCACAGAACATGGGCATGGCGTGGGTTTCCCAAATTCTGGGAACCAAGAGGCAACTGATGACCCACCACGTGGCTAATTATCCAGCATACCCTCACTCCACTGGGAGCCCTCAAATAGCTCTGGAGCCCCAGGGGGTGCAGACCACAGCCCTTCTTTAGAGCCCTCACCTTGTCTCCTGTCCCCTCTGCACTCTGGATAAACTGGAACTTGCGTCCACTGACGCTGTAGGCCACCTTGAAGGTCTTCAGGTACTCGGCGCTGCCTGCGCGGCTGGCACCCTGTGTCACCACGCCCATCACCCGCATCTTCCGCATCAGGTTCACCTGGACCCCAGGAGGGAGGACGGTACCCTTATCTCCTGGGTTCTTTAGACTCCCTCCACCCTCCCTATCTAGAAAGGAGGGGGGCTTTCTCATCGGGGCCTCTCAGAGCTTGGGGCCCCGTGCTCAGGGAAGCACACAAAGAGGGACAAGGCCCCCAAAGGCTTCATCCAGTGCAAACAGCCGCTCCACAGCCTGGGGTCTGCTCCTCTTCATCCGGCCCCACCACTCCAGGAACCCCGCCCCCGCCCGCCCCCCGCAAGACTGCCCTCCACTTACAGATACTTCACCTATGGGAACCCATGACCTTGCTACCTGGACCTCGGTTATGACCCCCCAAATGCAGGCATACGCCCCTCACCTTGCCCCCCCCACCACTCCGTCCGCCCCAGAGCCATTCTTTCCATACCTGGATCCAGGGGTTCTTATCATAGTTGCTGGCCGTCCAAGCATTGACGATGCCCGTGCGGTGCAGACGGGCCAGCTCTGGGGCCCAGCGCTGTAAACCCATGAAGCCCAAGTGCACAGATGAAGCGGCGATCTGCGAGTCGGAAATGGCGCCCGTCTCCATGCCCAGCGGCATGATGCAGGCTGCAGGGGTGGGGGGAGAGGGGGGAGGCGGCCGTCAGGTGGCCACCCAAGCACGTGGGCCCCAGAGGACCAGAAAATAACACAGTGTGGCCTCTGCCGAGACCCAGAGCAGAGACCAGGAAAGGACTCTCAGGGCCCAAGAAAAGGTGCATGGTGAGGGGGGGGGGGGGGAGGGGCAGACAGCCATGGGGGGTTTGGACCCAGGGCTGCCCCGAAGGTTCCAGGCCAGGCCAGGCCGGCACCCGTGGCACTGCTGGGACTGGCGGCCAGAATCTCCTGTCAGGCTGTGGTAGATGGTCTTGTTTTCACGGGGCGTCAAGCAGCAGCGGGGGGGTGAGAGTGGGGGCAGGGACCGGACTGCTGGGAGGGAATTCCAGTGTGACCTGCTCTTCTTCAGTGTCCTCAGCCCACCCGGAGGACCGCCATATCCAGCCCAACCCCTGGCTTCCCCAGGACGGATTTGGGAGAAGGGGCACCCCAGTTGGCAGTGACCAATATTTGTACAGGACATAAAGCAGTAAGCAAATCATGGGGCGCCTGGGTGGCTCATTCGTTAAGCGTCTGCCTTCGGCTCAGGTCATGATCTCAGGGTCCTGGGATCGAGCCCTGCATCGGGCTCCCTGCTCAGCGGGAAGTCTGCTTCTCCCTCTGCCCCTTCCCCCGGCTTGAGGTCTCTCTCTCTCAAATAAATAAATAAATGAAATCTTAAAAAAAAAAAAAAAAAAATGGCAATAAGCAAATCTGCCCGGACTTTTCTACAACCCCACTGGCAGGACTTTTCTGGGTGTGGCGTGAATACCATTCCATTTTCTCTCCTACTTTTTGCTCCTTCCAACTATTGGTCTTAAACCAGCCATCCGCCAAGTTGCCCCTGGCCAAGGGGCCATCACCTTCACCATTACCCCAGGGATGTGGTCCTAGGGGGCCGAGCCCCTCTCATCCCCCAGAGATCCCCCATGCAGAGAAGCCAGGGATAGATCTATTCTTGCTACAACAGCCCAGGTTCATGCTGAGCTTGGTGCTAGGCCACTCTTGCCAGGAAAGTGTAGCCATGCAGCCAAGATCAGAACTGGCCAGGGGCGGAGCCAGGATTTGCAACCAGGTCCTCACACCTCACATGTCCACACTCTAAGGGACCCCACTGTGCGTTCTTTGGGCCTGTGGGGTCCCTGTGGGCTCCAAGGCAACACACCACCTAACAAGGAGGGGCTGCAATGTTCCCTCTGGGGGCTCCCCCCCCTTTGCGGCTGCCTCCTGCCTTCTGCCCCAGGAGCTGCCACATCCAACCTGGGGCAGACCCCAGGCCGAAAGCTGAAGGCTAGGCGGGTAATTCCAACTCGGGCACACCCATGGTTACCTTGGCTCCCCGCACAGTAATTAGTGGGCACACCTGGCCCCACCCAGGGCTGTCTGCCTTAGTGACCCCCCAACTACAGACACACACACACACACACAGAGACATGCACACATTCCTCCACCCAGGATCTCAAAAGACATCGGCCTCAGCCCCGAGCCCAAGGGACAGGCCCTCCGTGCCGCCTCCTCTGAGGTGCTCTCCCCAGGCCCCAGCGCCCACCCAGCTGGCCCAGCACCCCCTCCTCCTTCTGCAGATCCGCCAACCTCAGAGAGCATCCCCACATCTGCCTGAAGGGGAACCGTCTGCCCCTGCCCAAGATGCTTAGCGGCAGACCCACTGGACCGAAGAAACCGGACGCCCTGAAGATGCGGACTCAGCCGCCCGCCCACAGCAGGCGAGGACGAGTCCCAGCTTGGTGGGAGGGACTCCAGCTGGGCCAGGAGGGAGGACAGCGTGGACTGGGCACCCACCCAGGGCCATTCTGTGGCTGAGTGGATAACCAGGCAAGCCAGGCAGGTCAGCCCCTCTGCACACGCCGGGCCTCTGACCGCCTGACCATGAGGGGATGGCCCGGCCTGCCCAGGCCTCTCCCTCCTCCCTCCTCCCTGAGCTCTGTGATGAGGCCGCAGTCAAACTTGGGCCAGGAACTGTCAGACTCCAAGGCCCCAGCCTTACTTACTGACCTCCTGGGCCCTAAGATTCAGAATGTGTTTGTCTTCCCCTCTTGGTAGAAAACTCTCAGGACTTAACCCTAATGCTGTGTGTCTGGTCCGTGGTGACCCAGGCAGCAGCACTCCCTGACCTCTGGGGCCACCACCACCCTTCACTCCCCTGCAGTGACATCAGGCCTGGCCAGCAGTCTGAGGACAGAAGCCAAGCAGGGACTAGTCCAGGACAACAGAACCGCTAACTAAGGCTCTGTCTTACCCCCAATCTACCAGAGGAGGTCCTGAGGCAGGGAATGAGGCCAGCACATGGCCTGGGCTGCTTAGGACCTCCCCCATCAGAGCAGGCAGCCCCAGATACTCACTGGTCTCACAGTGGACACCTGTATAGCCATGAGGACACTTGCAGATGTACTGGGTGAAGACGTCCCCTCTGTGCGAGTCGCCAGTCACCTGGCATTCGGCATCATTGTAGCAGGGGTTTGGAAAACAAGGACCTAGGGATGGAGAGGCAGGTAAGCTGTGCAGGGGATCAGGAAGGAGCTGGGGATGGAGACAGGCAGCAGCGGATGCCCCAAAAGGACCCTCCGTGCAAACTCAGCCCCCTGCCCGCCTCCCCCTGCCATCCCCTCCCTCCCTCCTCTGTCTGACGGGAGCCTGGGCCAGCCTGGCGCCAAGAAGGGTCAGGTGCAGGCGAATCAGTCCCAGTGAGGGAAGCACCGGGCTTTCCAAGTGGCACGGGGAGTTTCCAGGGAAATTCTGGCTGACCACCACGGGAGAGGTGCCGGGGACCACCGCCCACTCGGGGATGAACTGGGCCCGGCAGCCGGGGATGCAGCTGGGAGCTGGGTGTGGAGAGGGACGCAGGGCCCAGGGCAGATACCTTTCTCTGTCTCATTGCAGATCAGGCCCGTGAAGCCTTCGGGGCACAGGCAGTAGAAGGAGGTGTTGTCCTGGCCCAATAAGCAGGTCCCACCATTCAGGCACTGGCTAGAGTCACAGAAGTCACCTGCAATGTCACCAGCTCAGACTCAAGAATAGCAAGTCATTCATTCAGTAAATACTGGGGGCGGGAGGGGGCTATCATGTGCAGGCTGGGTCGCTGAGACAGGGGAACCAAGTATGGTCCAGGCCTCAAGAAACCACTGGAAAGAGAGGGACGGTCACTGGGTGATGAAGAGACATCACCAGCTCTAACAGAAGCCTGCATGAAGGGCCGCTGGAAGTATGGTTTCTGCTAGAGTTGGAAGTTTTGCAGCGGGGACAGGTGAGCTGGGTCTAAGAGATGGAGTGGAGTGTGCCCGAATGGGGAGTGAGGAAAGAATATTCTAAAGAGGGCAGGAACACAGGGCCATGGCAAGCTGGAGAACAGGACGACAGAGCAGAAAGGGTAGGTAGGGGCCAGACCCACAGGGACCTTAGGAATGACAAGTTCAAAGACTTTCCATCCTGCAGACCCTTAACCTTCCTTCAGCTGCCCACCGTTGTCCACCAGGGGAAAAAAGAAAAAAAAAAAAAATCAGAGATTCTCAAGGGTGAGGTGGGAGTGGGGAAGCCATTTCCCCTTTCTGGAAAGGAGAATATGGAGAAAAGGCCCTCTGCAGAGCTGTGGATGGGCTCCCCTGGGGCAGGGAGGTGTGCTGGGGCTACACAAAGATCCCTAGGGCTCCGGGGTAGGAATTTGACAGGAGTGGCTCAGGCGAGAGGCTGCACGGGCCTCCTGGTGAGGAGGAATTCAGGTGAAGAGGTGAGGAGGAAAGCAGATTTGAGAACCACTGCAGACGGAGGAGGAGGAGGGCTGGAGAGGACCACACCACTTCAGGCTGTGGGGAGGGGGGGGCCTGGGGGGCAGATTTGAGCTATTGGTGCACCCCACCAGGCCGGAAGGCAGGTAGGGGATCTCCTAGCTGACCTTCACATCCCAGAAGGGCCTAGCCCATCATGTGGGGTAAGACACGAGAAATCGCTTTTCCTCCCCACAGAGTCATGCCATCCCAGGTTGGGTGGGGTGGGGGGAGGTAGTGGGCTCCTGAAATCCCAAAGCTCCAAAGAGCTGGGCCAGCTCCAGAGAGGGGAGCAGAGGGAACAGCAAACACCGTTAATGAGAACTAGAGCCCTGAGCGCCGCCTCGGCTGCGCCTGGGAGCTTAGGGCAGGCGGCTCCCAATGAGCTATTAGTCAGTGGCTTTAAATAGCAGGTTAATCCCCTCCCCTGACCTGGCAGGCTGCGGGCACCGCCACAGACAGAGCCTTGGGAATGACCAGAGTCCTGGGCTCCTGTCCCAACAAAATCCAACTCCCCTTCTCCCCAACCAACCACACCCTCTCTCCATTCTGCTCCAGGGCAAAGCGGTCCACTGGGGAAAAAAGGACAGTGAAAGGTGGCCTCTACCCCTACCCCCACCCCCACCCCCAGCACAGGTCTTAGGCTGACTCACCTGCACACAACAGTCCTAGTACTTTCCCCTTTTCAGGAAAAGCCAGATCACCCTCTACAAAACCACCTTGGCGATTTCAGAGTCCTGTCTTTTTGGGTGATTTCCCCAGGAACATTTAGCCAGGGCTCAGGTTGTGGGGACAGAGAGGAGTGGAAAGGGACTTCAAAGACCCAGCTGGGTCTCAGGGTCGCTGGACAGCCAGCAGTTGCGAGTCCCCAAGTGTGCGCGAGCTTGGAGGGCCCTTGAGGTTCTGGCTCCAGGCCTGGGGGTCGGACTGTGGCAGGAAGACAGCGCCAGGGCTCAGCTTTGACCCCCCTCCACCCCTGCTTTCTTTGAGAAAATGAGGGAGGGGGTGCCCGAAGCGCGCCGACCACGGGTACCTCTTCAAAGCCCTGGAGGCGACAGGCTGTGTGGGCCCCACGGTGAAGAAATGGGGCATCCCCAGGACCAGCCCGCCGGAGGCCCAGCTGTGCGCGGGAGGCCTCCTCGGCGGGGGAGGAGGAGCAAGGAAGATACAGCGGCACGCCAAGGCCGCGGGAGGGAGTCGGAAGCCACCAGTCCAGGGGCGGCCCTCTCCTAGTCCCTCCCCAGGCTCTTGCTCCCCCCCCCCTCCTGGGCCCCACCCAAAGCCCCATCCCCTTCCTCCGCCTTCCTCCGCCTTCCCGGTCCTAGCTCATCCCACCAGACACCTACAAGCGGGGATGCAAAACTCCAATGACCAGAGCTTGCGAGGGAGTAGCCAGGGAAAGTTGGCTGGACAAGACTTGTCAATACAAGAGTCCTATTAACTTCCAGGTGGAAGACGCTCCAGAGTCGGGCACAGTTCAATGGCCTCATTTTACAGATGGGAAAAGAGAGGCCCGACACAGCAGATTCCTTTGTTATGTGTAAGCCCCATCCCTGGGGGCCGTGGGGCTGTCACCCGCTGCCCCGAGTCCCCGCCCCACTCTCAAGCCTCTATCACCGCCCAGAACGCCCGAGCGCGGAGACCGCAGGAGCGACCGAGCGCATCCCCGCGTCCGGCCGGGGCGCAGCCGGAGAAGTCGCCCCTCCGCACGGCCCCGGCTCTTTGGCCAAGTTTGTAAACAGTGGAGGTGGAGGGAGGGCGCCGCGGCGAACTTCCGAACGGCGCGGAGAGGAGGGGCGAGGGCCAGAGGGCGGCGCGATCGACTCACCGGAGACGGCGAAGAGTCCCGAGGCGCAGAGGAGCGCGCCGCAGAGCGCGGCCAGCAGGCGGGGGCCCGGCATGCCGTGGGGACGCGGGCGCGGGAGCGGGCGCTCGGGCCGTGCACACCGCGGGGCTCTCTCTCCGGCTCCTGGACGGGAATAAATCAGG